AGATCAAGACAGCCTTAGCCAAAGATGTTCTTGATCTTCTCAATGGTAGCTTCCCTGCTATCATCGTCCTCTATGCCCAATGGTGTCCTACCAACAAGACCGACAAGTACGACTCTACCGTGGACAACTGGTTCAAGCAGTTCAGAGATCTGCAGAATGACTGGAGCAACCACACTCTTTTGATCAATGAGTTTGATGAGGGTATGGATACCATGACTGGAAAGTGGATTTTCCCCAAGCGACGAGAGTTTGAGCTCCCCTATGTCAAGCGCACATACGCTACAAAGTCGCAGACTCTCCAGAAGGACGGTTGGGTTGATGCCGTTGTCAAGCGTCTGGACTTGATCTACAATCCTCACCAGAAGCTTGACAACGACAAGAGCGACAAGGAAGGAGAAGTATACGATCACTGCAAGCTCTCAGTGCAGATCCAATGCTTCGGCGGAAAGAACTCGCGCTTCTTGCTCAACAAGGACAACGGAACGTCCTATAGTTGGCGAGACTCAACTGTTGTACAAACACTAGACTGTTTCCACGACCCTGGTGCCAAGTATCGGGAATATGCCCTCGGCTGGCAGAAGACCAACGATACTATCATGATTGGACCCAAGAGTCCCTTCAGCAAGCAGGATCGTCGTGTGCTTTGGGGTTCATGGGGAGACTGGGATATGAGTAAGCCTGAGATTTGGCAAGCATACTACGAGGATGCGGACAAGTATAAGAGACTTGGTAAGGCTAGGGCTAAGGCTGACCCGAATGGAACCTTCACGGCCAACCCATTTGCTGTCACTGCTGTTCGTGATGGTACGAAATAGCAAATTCCACGCGAAACAGGAAAGAGATACGGGTAATGGATGTGCATATATTTAATACATCGCTGCTGTCTCTGTGCATTCTGTAAGGTACCTTTACCTTAACATTGCCGAGCCTCATCCGTCAATACTCTGCTGTGGCTGCTAACATCGTAACACGAAAACAAGGTCTCTTAATGGCCCACGCAAGTGCATGGATATTGGTGATCTTGATGGAAGGACGCCATAATTGTTCCGGCCCCAAAGCATACACGGCAAGGGCACTGTGGTTGTCCGTATGCCTGCTGGTATGCGAAGCAATTCGCTGTGTGGCCACCGCGAGGGCAATGGTGCCAAGTCTCTGGACACTGTACTCTTTCCTGCCAGTAATGCCGACGCGTGTATGTGCCCGCACCGTGGCAGATTGGGCAACCTTGTTGAGGCGGCATTTGCACTTCGTGAGAACGAGGGGTATGTCTGTTCTCTTTGATGGGTATGTTTATTAAATAAGGCCCAGTGTAAGTGAAAAGGGTTGAGATTGTTTGCTTGTGTTTATAGTACCAGGTCTCAAGGAACAATGTTGATCAAAAGTTCACAAGAGAGAAATCTGGTTTTATGTACCAAGAGCAAGTCGGTGAATCAGTGATATATGCTTGTATTTGATCATACCTTCATTCTCGGATTGTGAGGACGACTCGGAGCTGTGAATCAGTAGCATCAATTCAGAACAATGTGCTATCCTCACTCGGCATACATCGATCAAATAGACAGGATCTACCGGTACTGTTGACAAGTTCACTGTCAGATCGTAATGGGGTATTATTGGCTTTGCACAAGATATCGATACGTATAAGTTATGTCATGGCCAGTTCAAAAAACATCCAGGACCTAAGAGTAGCATCCGTTCTCTAAGAACTTTACCCTGCCTTTTGAGCTTCCGTGGCAGTTAATCATCACGGAGCCCAGAACAGTGCAAGGATCTTAAAGCGCCACGAGACGCGCTTGCAGTATACTTTCAAGAACTAGTTACGTCATTTTCAGATCTACATATTATTTTCTAGGCTCGGCAAACGCCTTTGTTTCCTCGTTTCTTGGACCAAAAGATGTTGGGCTGAAGATGAGTCACCGGCAACCCCGGAAAACCGTCAAGTGGGCCCCGATTCGAGTATAAGAATGCCCAGGTCTGACCTAAAACCAAGGTTTTAGCTAAACAGACTCCTGCTTCATTCAAATTTGCTACCGACAAAATGTCATCGCCTATCGCATCCGCTCATCTTCGCGTAGCGCGCCCAACAAACAACATCGACGCACTGCTGCCTTTCTACGTCGACGGTCTAGGATTCAAGAAGATCGGCGAATTTCGTGACCATGACGGCTTTGATGGTCTAATGCTTGGTCACGAGGGTGCAGGCTATCATCTTGAGTTCACAACGAAGCGCGGGCATGACGCCGGTAGATCACCCACGCAGGACAACCTCATGATTTTCTACCTGCCTGAGAAAGAGAAATTCGATGACGCAGTTGCGCGGATGGAGAAAGTGGGTATTGTTTCTGTCACGAGCTTTAATCCGTATTGGGATCAGTGCGGAAAGACGTTTGAGGACGCTGACGGGTATCGCGTGGTGTTGGCAAATATGAGCTGGAAATTGTAAAGCAACATGTGAGCTACCTCACAAGTCGTATACTATAGGTTGAATCATCCAACAATAGCGACAGAGCTTCACCTTCGCATCACTTGTTTGCCCTTGTAGACCAGCTACGATAATTCTAATGTACACAAGAAAGAAGGTCCCATCAAACCCATCCCCAGCATATTCTTGACAGTTATCCAATGGGGTCTCAGCTACTTGATAAGGTTTCTTCCCACTCAACGCTCTAGTTCACAACCGAGTGGTGTTTACGGCCCTTATGCTTACGACTCTTCGGCCTCCTTGCACGACATCCCGTTCCTGGCTCTTCCGTAACTTGAGGAATTACTGCGGCAGTTGTCACAGAAGAATGCTGGGCGCTTACGGCAGATGGCTTTACTGTAACGGTCTCGGCGCCCTCATCAGCTGTTGCAGTCTTCGATCTAGAGGCAGTATGAACTGTCGCTAGAGTTGTTGACTTTGGCCCACTCTCTGGCGTCGTTTCAGTTGATTCAGGGCTAGCAGCGGAGGATTTCGCAGCTTGTATGTCAGATTCATCCAGATGATGGAGAAGAGAGCCCCAGCCAAGTCCGTCATAGTGACCCGAGCCTTCTCCCCAAGAACCAGCTCCACCCTCGAATCCACCGAAGAACTCCAAGGAGTTGTTCAGGTATGCTTCTGTCCAAGGAGCATCAAGGCCTTTGATGTTGACGTAATGACTATAGAGAAGCTCCCAAGCCGGTCGAACCGCACCTCGAGAGGCTTCGCTGATGACATCGAAGGAGACTATGCCGTTTGTGTAGGGCTCGAATGGTACATCGCTTCCAAGATTGTATTGAGCAAAGTACTCGGCTCTGCATGTAGAAGTTAGTTCAGACCTCATCACAGCCGGTTAAAATAGGAATGGGCTCACGAACCCAAGTAGTATGCGGCTGTTGTTGTAGGCAAAAAGGTCGTCGCCCTGATTCCATGCCTGCTGTCCAATGGCACCCAGTACCTGGAAGTTCATCGCAGAATGACCTTGGTCTCGGCCAGATTCCTGCCCTTGACCAATCGCTTTGCCCGTACCAGGTTCTTCAACGATGTTTGAGATACCGTTATTGATAGCACCATTGCCCTCACCGTGCTTGAAGTAGTCAACAGCAAAGTCCCACGTGGTTTGGTTGTCGGTAAGGACTGCGATAGCCATAGCAGAAGCAATGTTGCACTGTTCCCAGTTCGCAAAGAAGTGCTTGACATTGTGCTCTGACCCGAGGACGTGGTTGAGGAAATCGAGGTTCATCGGTAAGAATATTTTGTTGAACATATTGATAACTTTGGATAGCCCGTTCTTTGCAAATGGCTGGTAGTCGCGGAGAAGCTCTGCGGCGTTAGCAAGCTCGTAACCCTGCAATCCTGCGGTAAGGTAGGCATCATCGCCCCCGCTGAGGATCTCCAGAGTATCTGCCCAAGCAATAAGGACCTCTGTCGCGGTTTCTGCGTATTGTTCTTCTCCGCTGACTTTCCAGCGCAGAGCAAGGTTGAACGCCGCAGCTGCATCGTGCCATAAGACCTCGCCATTTTGGCCCCGGTTCACTTCTTTTACTGCATTGCTCTTGTAATCGGCGCTGGAAAATGGAATGCTGGTCAGCTTATTCCACGACGCGGTCCAAGGCTCTTTTTTCTCCGCGAGCTTGCTTTTGATGCGAGTGATATCGGTGTCGGTGACTAGCAGACCGGGGTGAGTGAAGGCGTAAGAAAGAGGGAAAAGAAAAGAAAATAAGATGGTGTAAATGAGTGTCATAATGAATGTAAATTGTTAACGAGCGTGGCTCTTGGCAAATGAGAGAATAAAACAATGAATGTACAAAGGCCAATAAGTCAAAGTAAGCATATCAGAAACACTTTTATCGATTTCATGCTCTGTAATCATCCCACATTAAGCGCCTGGTCAGGAGAATCAGGCCAAAAGTCTAAACCCGAAGACCTGAAGCTGCTCCAATCAATCCTGGCTTGGATGAGGTGGTCATTTAACTATACGGCCCTGAAACCGCGCTACAGCTCGAATAGAATCCTTTATTTCTCGAGGCGGGGAAATCGTTATCCTGAAACCACTAACACCCGCGTATGTGTAAGATCTCCAAGAACATTCCGCAAACAAAGGAGCAATGTAGTAAAAGACGTGATTGAAGGTTTACAAGGAGAACAAAATATGGCACGATTCTTCATTTATTATCGGCTTTCAGAGACTAATTCTCTGGCAAAGCGACCAGGTGCTGGCAGCATGGGTTGGGCTCCTCGTGTGGACCCTTGCTGTTTAGGTGCCCCAGTCCATCGGCGATCAAGCGAATACCACGGCCATGGTAAACCAAGTCCTGTCATATACCGATTCCCTTGCCCTTACATCACGTACAGTGTGATGGCTTTGTAATCTATCTAGACTTGTAAGCGAAGGTGTTATGGATTGAACTACTAGCTACAGTTTAGGAGTCTGTCGGATGTTTCGGAGGAAGAATGTACCATCTAATTGATTGATGCATTGAATTTTGGCTCGATTACACAGTACACGCAGTTATGTACATTATATAGTTAAGCTCACTGGTCAATGAATTATGATAGCTTGCGTGTCTTCTTTGGTTGCTTGCTTTCCCCGCCAGCTACCATCCATGAACCCATGGAGATAGGCTCCTCCTATTAACTGGCAATGGTGATCCGCATGTGGATCAAACTCTTCCTTGTGCCTAAATATTAAAGGCACCCGTGATCGTGGCACCACCCAGACTCTATCTCCCTCCTGCAGATTCTCCGAGCCAAGTCCTATGTAGCCTGTCTCCGTTACAAATGGTCGGAGGTACTCCCCATATAGAAACTGCGAGCTAAACTCCGTCGATGAGACAGACTCGGATTCTTCGCTGGTAGCAAGCCATTCTGCATCACGGGGCCAGAACTTATTGAAAGCTTCCTTGAAGTTCGTCCAATTGTCTTCGTCTTCTGGAGACGCCGACGCAGACTGCACTGTCTCTCTTAACCATTTTGTGAAACTCGGCCCCATTGATGATTTTTTTGGTGCAGGATGTCTGGCCTCTCCATAAGTATTCTTAGTTATCGTTCGCCAGAAAGCCTCCATTCGGCCTTCGCCAGTGACTTGATACTTTTCAGGTAGCATCAGTAACATCCTCAAGAGGAGTGGAAACGGTTTAGAATTCAGAATCTCGCGTTTTGACTCTGCAATGAAAGAGATCTTATCGACTTGCATTCCACGGATAGTCATTGTAAGCTCACTCTTGTCGAATGTTGCAGGCCAAAGGGCAAGCTTCTCGTCCCGTGACAAATTCGTGTCCGGCGAAAAGAAGAATGCATCTGCTTGATATCTCTTGTATCCTGTGACTCTAAGGCCAAGAGGGTACCTTACACTCCAGTCAGGCACCCAGGAGGGAAGGTCTGCGCCGTTCAGCTTTACATTACGAAAGCCCTCTGCGCAAGAAAGTACCAGCAGATCCCCACAGTCCTCGAGAAGCTGGGTAGCGACATCAAGGTATGTCTTTCCAGGGCTGCAATTGCTTCTTTCTGTAGGAGGGCATAGCAACGCTGGTAGCTTTTTATCACCATCGAGACCTTGAATAAGTCCCAGCAAAGCATATACTTTGTCCGCGAGATCTGTGGCCTCGCAGTGACGCGATCGTATCAGCGTGTATAGGAGCACGTCAGCCCAGTGCCTTTTTGCCCTGGTTGATTTCGTGGCATCTAGAATCGCCGGGACTCCGTAGTTACGGGACATCTTTGAGCTGCTGGTGGAAGATAGCGTCCCCTCGGCGGGTCGACTGTCGTAGAACTGCTTCAAGGGGCTCGTTGATATGTTATGTGAGGCCTTCGCAAAGACATCCCAATCTGTTGAATACACCCCGCAGCGGAGAGTCACTTGCTTCGGGAGCACGAGTTCTTGGATGATCCATGATCTGTTCCAGTAGGTACGGTCGAAGATCTTTCCAACGGCCAACCAACGAGCCGCGTCGGCATCGAAATCCTCAAAGCCTGTTCTCCCAGTTGGTATGCCCAAGGACGGGAGAATGCTCCGGTCAGCCACCTTGGCCATGTGATCAAAAGCTTGTGCCGTGTGCGCATCCGAGTCTCCAAGCCATGCAACGACTGAATGTGCTTTTTCGTAGATCTTAGCCATCATGTTACTGACTTGGTAACTCCTCTCGCTGAGATCACCCTGGTTTATGCATATCGCGTCGATCCAGAATTCCTCGTGTCTCAGGTTTTCGTCTTCCTTCACCTGTATCAGGAAGTCCAGCAGGTTTCTGGCAACTTTGAGCTCTCCATTGCCAATTCTTATAGGCGCCACAGGCTTGTCTGTATATGATTTAAAAGGCCCTTCGTCAATCGGTGCTCCCCATCTGTATGAAAGGGCGAGATATCGTGGTGATTGATCCATGCTAACTACTCTTAGCTTCCACTTTGCTTCGGTGATATCTGAAGCCCAATTGTCGAGTGACACTAGACGCAAGTCACCAGCATCGATCGGAAACTCTGAATAGTTTAGATTCATGGTCCCTGATCTGCAGGAACAAATAGCAATGTGTTGTTGAAGACTACCCTTGGACCTAGAGAAGCGAATGAATGACAGGAGAGCTACGATAAAAGATTTGGCCACGTTCTTATGATCTCTCCCTAGAAATTGCGGCTGAAATGTCTCCTCCTTGTGTTGCCAGTGATGTTTGTCATCTGCTTTCAGCTGCTCTAAACTGCATGACGCGGGATTTGTTGGCGTTCCGTCATTGGGCCGTTAAACGAAGGGGGCCTCCGTCTCACTGCCTCGAAAAATCCCACTCATGTCATTATCATTCTCTTAAATGAGTCGTGAGTCTCGTGGTCCAGGCTTTTCATACTGCTTCTTTCAGGTTACCCTTCTGTAATTGCCTGTCTGCCTTATCAGGCGGCATCTGAACACCTGCCACCATTCTCCCTTCAATGCATCCATGTTCTTTATTCCCACCACTTCTATCATCTTTCCCAATGCCAGATCCTAAATGCTCGTACAAGTTCACCTTCGAACCTGGTTGGTTTGTTGACTACCCAGTGGTTTCCCACTCATGTTCTGGTTCGAAGCTCACCACTCAGCCAAACCTTGGTTTGCTCAGTGATCGAGAATGGGCGGGACTTACTGAACACATCGAGCAGTTAAATCACCAGGAGGGCTCGAATATCTCGCATAAGATCTTGCTGGTTGCGCGACATGGTCACGGTGTTCATAATGATGTGATGGGGGAGGTCGGATCAGAAGAATGGAAGGTATGCGTCTTCCCATTCGTCGAACATGATTATAGCAAGCTGATAATCCTTAGAACCACTGGTCGAAACTACCTGGGGATGCAAACAGAATTTGGCTTGACGCCGAGCTCGTTGAAAAGGGAATCCAACAAGCTAAAGACCTCGGGAAGCTGTATACTGAGGGCATTCGGCAAGCGGACTTTCCCATACCCGATACTATCTATACCAGCCCGCTTGCTCGAGGTCTGAAGACCACGAGCCTGATTTTCAGGGATATCATCATGGAACAAGGGACTGAGTTCAGGCCTATAGTGAAAGAGTATCTTCGAGAACGACTTACCAATCATACATGCGATAAGCGGAGGACCAGACAGTGGATTCAAGCCGCTTATCCGGGCTATGAGTTGGAATCAGGCTTCGCGGAAGAAGATATATTATGGCATGCTGATCGATCAGAGTCGAATGAAGCACATGTTGCCCGTACACAAGAACTCCTTGAGGATGTATGGAGACATGACTCGGGATCCTGTATTGCTCTGACCACTCACTCATTCACCATATCAACTATCCTAGAGGTCATTGGAGCGCCTGAGTTTCGGATGGGCGAAGGCGCTATGGTGGCAATCTTGGTCAAGGGTGAAAAAATCAATGCACAATGAGGTCTCAAAGGGAAATTATCAAGTAGGAAAAGACTCTATCATTCTATCATCAGAGTCATGTGTCACGAAGTTCCATATATAAGCTGTTCCTCCCGATTCCCATAGCCTCTACTGTTGTGACATATTCCCTCCCGTTCCAGGAGCTCTGAGGTTTGTCTCAACCCCTTCTTGTACAAGACCATATCCCGACCTGGCATTGCCTCTTTCTGCACCTAGCACCCCATTCTTTGAAGCGCTGATAATTGAGGAAGGCTTCATATCAAGCATCACTCCTTCTTCTCGATATGCTTGTATACCAACCAACACTCCAACAACTGCTAATGAGATGCTCGCCGCGTAAACAGATAATAGCTGAACTTGCTTGTACACAAACAGCGTAGTCTGTCTTTGCCGACGGCATGGATACCTCGTCGAAGCGTCACCTTTCCTAGTCCCTGATGGCTTCCCATTCGACGCCCACGCGACTGCCACAAATGATGGCTCGGAGAGAAGGGACAGAACAATGTCCTCATATAGCTTTTGGATACCTTGGCGCAGGTTTGTGATGGGAAGGGGGTTTATCTTGGACCCCAAGGAAGTGAGGAGAATATACGTCGTTGTTACGTTGTTTGCCGCGTTGACAACTCCCCCAACATATCGTCGGAGTCCCTCGCCAATCACATGATATGCAGCTGTTCGGCGATACTCTTTGTAGTTTTGAGGGCGCACCCAGTTACTTTCGGGAATCGACTGCTTTTTCGATGTCTTTCCGGAAGTGTTTTCCGAGACGAGAGTCGTGTTAACAACCTTTCTAACATAGTCGCGGTTTGTTATCTTGTATGACTGAGCACCTCTGACGTAGTCAAATCGGACAGTGTAGTTGACCTCGTAATGCTCACAGCCAAAGATAATGGGCGTATATGCTTTGTCCCAGCTCTTATCCTCCTTATCTTTTGGTTGTGGCTTGTTTATGTCTTTGACGGTTGCATAGCCGACCCAAATGATGGGCTCATTCTTGAAGACACCTAAATTCTTGGGCCGTCCCCCACTATATGTGGTGTAGCTCTCCCTGGCAGCCTTGGAAACGAAGGTATATGACCCTTCTGGCGCAAGAATCGAGGTATTGAAAGGCGCCTCAGCATCGCCAAGCTTCTTCACCTTCGAACCAACACCAGAAGCCAACTCTTCACATTTGTACCCAGGCGCCAGGAAGTCAATAACATAGGTGCAGTTCCAGCCGTCGGAGCATACCTCTTCTGCCGACTCGTCCCTCACAAGGGGTTCACGCATGAACACCGCCTTATTCGAGACAACAGACGTATACACGGAACTCGCCGCATTCAAATAGTCGAAGTGCGTCGAGTTGAAGTCTTCAGGCTTCGTGTTCAAACCAGTAGTGTTGAAATGCGACACAGATTTGAGTGTCTGACCATGCACAACTGGTCTCTCACGCCAATCAAAGTTGGCCTCATTGCCAAAGTTTAGCGTTCGGACAGATGGACACGACACTAGCTCCTCCGTGACTCCGGCCACGACAGCCAGTGTCTCAGCCGTGAGAACCACCACTAATGGTGTAATCCAACAATAGAGAGCTAGCAGGGTTCCGATCTTAGAGTTCTTGATAGAGTACCATGTCAAGAGGGAAAAGATATCGCTGTTGGCTGTGAATACTGCATCAACTGTTTCGAGACGCGCCATCTTATGGCGGGCGATCAGCCATGCGCGCTGCTGGAAAGCCATAGCAACAGCAGTTCCTAGGCTTGCTTTAGCGCAAAAGGCAATTATTGTGCCGTATCGCAGCATGAGAGATTGGCTGGTGGCTTCTTGTCCGTCAAGGCTTAGGTAGAAAAGATGATGGCCGCATGCTAGCATGGTACCGAGAACGGTCAAGAGACACATTTTCCACGGTTTTAGAGTGTATGCGCTCCATTTTTGGGCGAAACTTCCATCTGTCGTCGAAGACATGAACTTGCTGTTTGTCTTCGCTTTACCCCCAGTGAGATCTGGGATCCCAGGCTTGCTGCTTCTAAAAGATTCATATGGGGACAGGAGCTCAATCTGATCCGAAGACGCATTCGAGCTGTGATGACCTCTCAAGTGAGGCGGCAAATGACTTTGCGATGGCTCCATTTCGAAGAAGATTTAGATGATGTCACGAAGAGGATTGAAAATGGAGGGGGCTCAAAATCTTGTATTGATGCACAGCCTTATTTGAATTTATGCAGTATGCGTCATGCCATGTTACACGGCCCCCAAAAAGTCCCTGTAGTATGACATACAGTCAGCTCTACCTAAAATCTCCGTCTATCTTAATCTATGGGGGGAATCATTTCCAACCATCGTACAATTGCTATGCGACAAAGAAAATAAAAGCATTAGAATAATGGTAATGTGGTTGGTGTAGCTATGCAAGCTCGCTTTATTATATCGAACATCCCGGCTCCAAGGAAAATGAGGGGTATCATCGGACGCCGGCCTGAACAAGTCGGCTTTCGGCTGCTGGATTGTTGAGAAACTTGGGCACAGAGTCCTGGGATCTGTTAGTATGGTGATGCAGATGGATGGGGAGTGACTTACAGTGGCCATGAGCTTGAAGACGGCATCTTGTGCAGTCTCCAATAGTGATGTCACCTCTTGCAAGGTATCTGCTACTGTGGCATCGAGTGCCTGGGCCTTGGTCATCCGTTGAGCAAGACTTGATCGGATCTTATGGTTGACGTTGACCTCTCGCGGTGACCCAGGTGCGAGGAAGGTATTGAAGACAACATGCGCTTCAGAAAGAAGCTCGTTCGCTGCATCATCGCCCTTCTTATCCTTCAGCATAGTCTCAAGCATGGCCTTGGAGTCCCGAATGATCTCATCAGCCTGCTCGTAGAATGCAAGACTCTCTTCACAGTAAGTCTCTCGGAGGTTCTCACGGAACAGCAATCGCAGTGTAGGGTCGAGGAGGATCTTCTCAAGCTTGTGTCGGTTGCTCTCGTTGACGCCACCCTTTGCTGATGATGAGTCTGTCTTGCCTTGTGATGAGCAGCGACTCGATGAGCTGGTCTCGACAAGGTCTTGGCCGCGTTGGGAGAGTTGGTAGATAGCGATGGGGGTAGGTTGGAAGAGTTTGCAGGCGGCGAATTGATTCATGTAGACCATGTCTGTTGTGACTGACTCGATGAGGTTGTAGTGCACGAAGTGGGTTGCTATGTTGACGGCTTCTCGAAGATCGACGCATGTCGTGTTGTCTCGCAGCCACTCAGCAATGACCTGGCCTGTGCAAGTATCATGGTATGTCTTTCCATTTACCTTGCGTTCTGGTTGGAGTCGAATACCTGCTGCGCCCTCTGAATAAGGTCCCTTCTTACCTCGTCCGTCAACACCGATCAACCGACAGAAGACAACCTCAGTGGTGGCTCGATCGACATGGCACTTGTCGGTCTTGACATCTCGTTCCAGATGCAACAAAGGCCCTGTGATGAGACAGTGCAGCTCACTAAGCTGATCCTGGTAAAGGCCATTCGATTGACAGAACCAGTCAAAGATCATGATACCCTTGGACGTTGGTCTCCATACTCCACCTCTTTGCTGAAACACCTGGTCGGGCTTTCCATCGGCAGACTCGATATATCGGGCATCGACGAATTGCTGACACAGATTTCGGGCTGTGTTCTTGTTCATGGAGAAGGTTGTTGTGGAGGTGGAGACGACGGTGCCCGATGGGTTGCTAGGGTCAGGCATACGATTTGACTGGGTCAGTTTGAGATTGCCGAGGTTGTGGATAGCATCTTCGGCGAGGAATGTGTGTTCGATCTTGATGAATCGGACGCGATGAGGGATGAGAGGGAGAAGACTGGCGAGGAGGGCGGAGAAGAGGTCCTGGAGGTCCTGTTTGCAGTTTGTTAGTGGTGTTGAACAAAAAGGCAAAATGCTGCTGTTATAGCCGGTGTTATGTCCGGAGCCAAGTACCGACCTTTGATTGCGGTCGGTCATCGTTTGACGCGCATAGCAATCGCGACGACGACTGTGTAATTGTTCCCTTTGACATGCTGGGTACCTGCGTCGAAGCTCGCCTCTGCAGAGTAGTAGAACCTCCTAGGTCAAGCATCACTTCAGCTCTGAAGAAGCAGAAAAAGAATGAATGAAGCAGCACAGCTGAGCGGGCGATAGCAGGTCCGGGCGACGATGCGATGCGATGGCGGAGCCGGAGATGATAAAGGATTGGAAAGGGGACCTACATTACTCGTGCGGCCGCCGAACGATTCCTCTTTGAGCGAGCGGGTGCAGAGTCTTTTCCTCGTGGGAAGCGGAGAACCACATGGCGAGCCGTCCGACCACGCGACTGACTAGATCTAGATGGAGATTAGGCTGTTGATTAATCCACGTGCATACGATGTTGCTAAGTTAGCATGCCATGCTTGCTTGCTGCATCGTGCAGCAGAGGCTGGGCGTTTCCTTTAGTCCGTGGAGCAGTGACCACCACGCCAAGCACTCCTCTCCTCTCGTCTCTGGTGTGCCCTTATAACTCAGCTCAAAACAGCCCAGCCTCGCATGTTATTGTTTTGTTTATTGTACTGCAAGGTTGAGCTTCGATGCTGCCATTGTCACCAAGGGACCAACCTTTGTGGCCATGACCCCTTTCACCGAAGGAACAAGGTTTGCTTCTAGGACAAGTCCAGTCTAGCATCATCTGTCTAGAGCTTGGGAGCATCTTTTCCACCAATCATGCATTTTTTGGAGCCTAAAACAGCTCCATCAATCTAGGAAAATTCTCGAGACACGGGAAAGGTTACCCCTACAGTTGGGTTAAATATGGGACAAAACCACCCGGCAATTCGGCCTTGCTCTTTTGCTGTGTCGTTTTTTTTCTCTAGCTGAAACGCCCTTGTCAGTTGCACAATTGCATTGTTTGTTGTTGGTGATCTTCACCGATGATCGACATGCGTCATTGAAGCGACACCGCCGGCTCCGCTCACCCACTTGGGCTGACGCTGGCTGACCTTGAAGCAAATTGCGCCTGCGGTTCCGCTGCGTGACATGATCAAGCCCCCATGGAAATATGGACATGGACATGATCCGAACATCAACGGACCAGATCTACTGTGGCGCCAACCGACTCGGCCGTGAGATGATGCGCTCCCCTCACCCAACGACTCAGTGAACCATTTGATTTTTGAGGCTCAAGGAGACGCTAAACGAGATAACGCAAATTACGATTCCATGGCGCCAAAAAGTGGTTCCACTTGGGTTCAAGAGCCAACGGGGATCAAGGTGATTCGTCAATCTGGGAGAATGGCTCGCGGGAATTCCGAGATCTCCCTTCGACCGATTCACCATGATGCACGCATGAATTGGAACAAAGCTTGTTGATGCCGAAGAAGTCGACTGTTTCTAGAAAGACCCTTGAGTTGGGGGCTTTTTGACGTGGTGGTTGCATTGCCCGTTTCATCTAAACGCATCATCGCCGATCGTTCCCTTTCTGTATTTCCTCTCGCTTATGCTTATGAGCTTCATTAGCAAAAAATGTCCACAGACCATGGATCCTTGGACTAGTTCCAGAAACCAACAGTCCGGGTCATTTTGCACTTTTTCTCGCACTAGAGCTCCTGGTCTTTCGTCCTCTGAATCAAATGTATGTCGATCCTCTGCGGATGCCCCAGATATCCGCTTCAATAGTTTAGAACAGCGGGACAACGGCCTCAACCCCGATACACCATTTTGCGCTTCAACATCACTACCACAAATGATGAGTGGGCGGGAGATGAGATGCAGTGGGTTTAGGTTCCGCTTGTCTGTGCTCAGGGTTGAAGATACCCTGGTAATATTTTTCAGGAGAATTCCTCCACGTGGGAACCCGAGAGTCCGTGACATCTTTTGCTCTTGGGATAGCATTTACCAGAATGTCGCGATAGCTACACTTTATCTTCTTATCTTCCCGAAGGGCGTAATTGCGGCTCCTGAAGTTCCCGAGCACCGACAGTCTATCTTATCACGGATGATCACCGTGAACCCATGATAATGCGGCTCATTGTTTATCTTTGGCATGAATTGCATGATCATGAATCCCGGGTAACTAGATGCCAACCGCGTATTCCCCAGCCTAGCACAAACACCACCAATGAGACGCCAGCGAACACGAAACCGTAACGCCGCCACCAACTCATAATCTGCATTGATTATGCCAGCTAAACAAGTCACATAGCGGCAGTTGCTGGAACCTTCATAAGACTGTTCATTGGCACTGACTCATGAACCCCTGACAGTCTCTGGCCTAGCTATTTGTTAGTTCCAATTTCCACGTGGCCGACACGTTTCGCGCGTGAAGCAGATCCGTACTAACTCTCGTGATTTCGCAAACTTGTGCTACTCTGGTAAGATGCAATTGTTCCTCCCGTAATCTGTCTTCTTGACACATAGTTACCAGTAGTCCTCGAGAGCAATGTAGCCACTCACTCAGGCGCTCAATTGATGCCGATCTTCGGAATCTCCGTGACTGAGACTGACAGAGGGAGTAACAAGAGGCTGACGAGTGCACATGAAGCATCCTTATTCTACACAACCGGCACGGCCTGCTAGTTTCTACCGATAGCACTGCTACTCCAGGTTACGCAAGCTACATGCTCTGTATTCGTTGATACAGAAGCAGTTGACACGTAATTCTGCGCTTATCATTTCTCTGAGATAGACAAAAGTCTGTTGACCAACAGCACCATTGACCATATCTTCAGCAAGATGGGAGAATTCTAGCTATCAAGACGCCTGCATGGGCTAAACATGTACAGCATGTGGGCAACTGGGTATGTCCTGTGCCTATTGGTCTCAGCATCGACCTGCATGGAAGATGGCTTGCTCACGGACACGGATGCCCACTTCCATCTTACCCGAGCTCTGATCTGAGCCAGGACTCGGTCCCTCATCGTGATTCTGCTGTTGGTTGGATCGACCCTGCTGAAGTGGCTTGACTGCTTTACCTATCCATACAGGTAGACTTGATGCATGCCAGGCAACACTGAGACATCGCAGCGCTGTTGGATCTTTGTCGACCATTCTCTACAATGCAGAATGTAGGGCTATGAGGTCAGAGAGGCTAGTGACACAAACTACATGATGGTACGTGGTAGAGGATAAATGATTGAAGATTGCAATTTCCTCGCTAAAGCTGTTGGTAACGCATTGCGCAAGAATCGCGGCGTGCTCAGGATCAGTATCAGCTATATATTACGTATCTACTGAAGTTCTGCTAACCAATCATAAGTCGTTGCGGGCGAATGGTTTAGTGGTATAATACTCCCTTAGCATAATTCATCCGAATAATCTGGGAGTGGTCCAGGGTTCGATTCCCTGTTCGTCCAAGATAGGTGGTTGATTCCCACTATTATCCGCTTCTTTTTGCACTTTTGCCAATTGGCAATCACAAACTCTCCGAAGGGATGATGAGCTTCTTGTTTTAGCCGGTCCGAGTGAGTGAGGCCTGTGCTGTGATTGAGCATGTGGCATATCGCTTCCTACTTGAAGTATTATTTCTCCATGCTGCCGGGTAGGCTCTTTCATCCTAACATCATCTAGATACAGGAGAAACTCTCTCCAGTACTCTGTAGACCTCGCTTATAATCGTCAGCTGCAATAGATACTCCAGCTATTAAGAAACGTATTTTGTCTTTTGTCCTGCGCTACCTTTATGTTCGATTGCGGTTTCTCAAAGTCGTGTTTGGTGTCCAAGCTCGAGTCCAGTTGGAGTTGATACGAAATCTCACGATTGGAGCGCATCAACCTTTAAGCTTACAATTAAGACTGCCAGGGGCCAACCCAATAAACCAACTTCACCATTTCCACGGTATCATTCCGCGAACTTGATATACCTGAAGCTACGTCACAAACAGGCAAAAGATCACCCCCAAAGTCCGTATTCCTCTCTGCCAAACCAAGCTCTAAGCCATTTTCGGAGCTACCCTCTCCGTCGACCCAATCAAGCCAAAGCGCGTCAAGTTGTTCCCCGCACAAAAACATGTTCACGCGGGAACCCCACAAACCGCGACAAGCAGGGGGATCAACGGCTTATTATCCTAGAACAGGAGGTCATGACACCATGCAAGATTTACCGCGCCATTGAGATGCCGTCGCTGGAGAGAAACTTCGTGACATCGTGGCCTGCATGGTCGGTAGATATCCCGAACTTGATCGCCAAGACTATGGGTGACGAGCTGAGGGAGCGGCCGAGGCAGGAATGTGAATATGTGAATTGCTATAAGAAGTGCTGAGGATCGCTAGGAACGAGACAAGAGACAGTAGCATCCTCGCCTGCACCTCACAGCAATCATGCGCTTCCAATCTCTTCTCTGGGGAGGACTCTTGAGTCTCTCTGCAGTCCTCGCTGCTCCTACTGCAAACCAAGAGCCTCCTACGCCCGCCAAGCGTGCTGTTCCTACTTCGACCTTCTCCAACAATGCCATCTTCTCTCCTCCTTCCAACGCTGGCTGGACCGACCCTCGCGTTCTATACGCTCGCTCTATCCAGCTCTCTGACGGTTCCTTGCTGGCAACCTGGGAGAACTACTCCCCGGAGCCTCCTCTGGTTTACTTCCCCATCTACCGTTCTACAGATGGTGGTGTAAAGTGGACCCAGATCGGAAAGGTCCAGGATACAGTCAACAACTGGGGATTGAGATACCAGCCAGATCTTTATGAGCTTCCAAGAGCAATTGGGAAGTACCCTAAGGGAACTATCCTTTGCACGGGAAACAGCATTCCTACCGATCTGAGCAAGACCAAGATTGATGTCTATGCTAGCACTGATGGTGGAAAGACCTGGAAGTTTGCTAGCAGCATTGCGTCAGGCGGCGAAGCTCGCCCCAACAACGGCCTCACCCCAGTCTGGGAGCCTCACATGATGTAAGACCCCTTCATCAACCCCTCACAGAATCTGTACTGACTCAAAACCAGGGTCTATCAAGACAAGCTCGTTTGCTACTACGCTGATCAGCGTGATCCCAAGCATGGCCAGAAGCTCTCTCATCAAACCACTACTGATCTCGTCAGCTGGTCTTCCCTCGTCAACGATGTTGCTGATAGCAATTACAACGCCCGTCCCGGTATGCCAGGAATCACTCTCCTCCCCAACGGCCAGTACATCTTTGTCTACGAGACCTGCGGTACCCAAGGCTGCAGAATCTTCTACCGTCTTACCTCCAACCCTCTCAACATCCTCGCAGCCAAGGAGTATGCTCTGGTTAGCAACAAGGGGACCCGCCCCGTCAGCTCTCCCACCGTTGTCTGGAGTTCGGTCGGAGGAGCCAATGGAAGCATCATCGTCAGTGCTGGAAGCCAGTCTCAGATCTTTGTCAACAAGAACCTCGGTGCTGAGAACTCTTGGGTCGAGTTTGCTACTCCTCAGCCTAATGCGTACACTCGTGGACTTATGGTGTTCAAGGAGAACGATAATTTCTTGGCTATTATTGGAGGCGGGTGGTTGCCTCCTAGCAGCACCAACCAAGTTAGCCTGAGCGTTATAGACCTGAAGAAGACCGGACTGTAGAATATCGTGTTAAACTATAGAAGTATACAGCATTAAAATAGCTTACCCTTTTTCCAGATCGGAGAAGTAACGTAATGAAAGTGGTAGGAAGTTATATCCTTATCAGAAGTTGATTAAGTCAATGATGAAGGCAAAGGTTAATGGGCCTGCAGCCCTGTTTTTTCGCCGATATCCTCCTTTTGACTAGACTGTAGTCCTCCCATAATGATTTTAGTCACTTCTTCCTCTTTGCCGTAGAGCGGAACCTTTTCACTGATGCCAGTGTCATATTTCATCCTGCTTTCAACAGTGTGGCTCAGCCATTTAAAAGCCTCGAACAATCCCTCGCCAGTCTTGATGCTCGATCCAAAGACCGCCTGCAGCATCGTTATTTTATGCGGCACTAGTCTTTTGAGTCACTCACATGTGGCGTATTTACTAATGGGGATGAACAATCGTCGACATAGAATCCTTTTATCCGCTCTGCTGTACGAGCGTTCTGTGGAACATCTCAGCGCAAAGTCTAGTTAGGGGGCCAAGCCACATACGCTCTTATCTTGCTTGTTTGCTAGAATCAACACCGGGATACCATTGCGCAATCCGTCTTGGTGGCGTATAGCTCTGAAAAGCTCTTCTCTGGCTTCTATGAGACGGTCGTGATCAGACGAGTCGTCGACCCACACAAGTGCATCGCAATGCTTCATGAACGACCGTTCCATTCTCCAGTATGGCTCAGGCCTGCCACCACCGAGATCAATGGTTTGGAAAGTGACATTCTCGCATCTATAGACTTCAACTTGATGTCCAATCAGGCTTACGACGGCAGATATATCTTTTTCATTGGTCACCAAATGAGAACGCAAGAGAATAGACTTGCCAGCATCGTCAAGCCCGCTAAGGAGGATGCGGCGATGGCCTGGAAGGATACTGAATAAGCTTGTGATAGACGTGCCTGAGGATGGCCTCAAGAGACCAATTGAGGCGAGAAATTCGCGGGCGTAAGTGATTATATTTCGCATGATTGTAGCAAACAAATGGCTTGAGCCTGCCCTAACATGACTCACGATGTTAGAGGCTTATATGAGTTCTCAAATAGCTGCCTAGAGGAATGGGCCAGGGATTGCGGATACTAAACACGTAGCGTTTAGGAAGCGACCACTCAAAGTTGGAAAAGCCGAATTTCTGAAAGAAGGGGACAGATTTCATGATTGAATTTTGTGATTTGTCTCAATGCCCCATCTTCTTGATTCACACAAGGGGAGTAGTCAAACAAACAATAACTGGGTATGAAGGGTGAACATTCAATGCCAAACTCAATTGCCGCGGTCAACACAGCAAAAAGTTGAAAGAATCAATCTTTTCCGAGGATTCGCGAAAGTCAATGCAGGCAACAGGCGGCCCAGAGCTGTGTAACATGAGTCGAAGTGAATCATTTCAGTGAGTGACTCATGAGGGCTTCACTTTTGGTGGCGGGGCGATTGCTTATGACGAAGGCTCATGATTACTCAGCCGTTTTGTCTTCTGCCCCGCCCCGCTCTACTAAAAATACCCAACGACCTCACTCACCTCGAAGATCAATCACGAACTTACTCCAACAATCACCACCTTCCGAGACTGAGTCACATCTCGTCATCATGTTCAAGCGAAAACCCGACATCAGAAACCTCGCGCCTTTGCGCTCATCAGATCGACGAAAGCTCGCCGATCAAATCATCCGCGATTATCAAGTCTCTATCCCAGAGTCCGGAGACGATGCGTCATTAGGGACACAATCACAAACGGCACTGCGTAACTCACTTCTACCAGAGTCGACGTCGTCAGCTCGTTTCATCACACCAACTGAGCAAGGAACCGTGTACATAGGTGCACATCCCGATCAAGATGAGAGAGTCCTCTGGTTCCAGACCGGGAAGAACCCACGATTGATACCAACAGTGTACACTTTGTGGCGCAACCCTAATCTCATTCCACTTCTACATACGCCCGATTTTGTGGTTGAGGAGAAGTTGAAGCATGGTGCCGACTTGATGGTTCCTGGGCTGGTAAAAGCGAGAGGCGACAGCTGGGATGCACGAGCGAGCACTGGCGCTGTTGTGGCTGTCGCGGGAATGCAGAATGATACAGTACCTGTCTGGGTTGGAACATGTCAAATAGATGTGCGAAATCTGCCAGATGATGTGCGGGGGCAGAAGGGCGCGGCTATCAAGGCTCTTCACTGGGTTGGTGATGAGTGCTGGAGTTGGAAGCAACTTGGCAGTGGCGGAATCGACCCGCCTTCAAGTTTGGAGGGATGGGCAGGACTAGCAGTAGGGTTGGCTGCTCAAGCTAACAAACTGTCGCTGGAAGAAGAGACTCAAGCAACAGAATCGACACCGCCTGCTCAAGACTCACAAGTCGATGAGGCCCAAGAAGATGATGAGGTCGAGGAGGAACACGAGCCGACGACAAAAGAAATCGACGACACATTCCATCAAGCCTTTCTTTTCGCAGTCCACAAAGCCAAAGAGTCTGGCTCCCCGCCACATTTCGGCCTACAGTTCCCTCTTCAGCCGTCTTTCATAATCGCAAACATGGTTCAGCCCAACCTCCGATATCAAAACCCAAAGCATTACAACATCAAGAAGACGTCATGGAAGAACGCCAAAAAGTTCATCAAGCATCTTGACAAAGAAAAGATTGTAAAGTCCAAGGATAGAAATGGTGGAGAGACCGTCATTCTAGACATTGACTTTGATGACCGGCAGGTCTTGGGTTTCCGGCCATATCGATTGCCGACATCGAAGGCTACTAGTGGAGATACTTCAGCGTCAGATGCCAGACAAGCCTCAGGGTCGGGCTCGTCTGCAGGGCAGAAGGTCAATATCCAGATGGTCTATCGCGTATCTTCAAAGCTCGTACCGACACTTCTCCCCTCCAAGACGGACTTCTACACTTCGCAGGAGATCTCAGCAGCTATCAAGTCATACATCGACCAGCATCCCGAATTAGGCGGCCAAGGAAACTCCAGCGTCAAACTCAACCCGTTTCTCGCCAACGACATCCTGGGTAACAAACCATCTGATGAAGACGTCAGCTTTCTTGCCGCCGGAAGGATACCTCGAAGTACTCTCCAGAAGCGAGTAATTGAGGATACCCATCTCTGCCAACCCTTTCACGTCGTCTCACACGGTGCTCCCTCACCTGACCAAAAGCCAAAGTCTGGATTACCGCCTCGGATCCTGATAACAATCGAGAAGCGAACCGGTACAAAAGTCGTTACCAAGATTTCCAACCTGGAGCCCTTCTTCATCGATCCTCAGGTCCTTGCACCAGAGTTACAGAAGAAGTGTGCAGGTTCTGCGAGCGTAGGCCAAGTTGCTGGTGCAAAGCCTGGGTCGATGGAAGTTGTCGTTCAAGGCGATCAGAGGAAGATCCTCGCCAAGGATATTTTGGCGAGCAAGGGTATTGATGCGAAGTGGGTGGATGTTGTGGATAAGACGAAGCCTAAGAAGAAGAAATAGAGAAGCGCCGAGAATGAGCTTGGAAAAGTATCGCCATTTCAATGAAACTGAATCAGCAAGACGTCCTAGGAGGATTACATAGGAGGATTTGATGGCACATAAATAGACTTCAGGCAAACAAATAGTTGTAGCAATGACAACACCGCATTCTGGAGTAAACCTATATTGCTCTGGGGTCTCACCCATATCTATGAAAGTGCACCCAATACTGAGGTCGCATTTGATGTTTCGAAGGAACTTGCTTGAGGCTGTAAGTGGTAATGCTTCCAGTTGCCGAGCTCTATCCCCCGCCCTTGAGGTTATCTCGTTGGAAGAATCCGAGGGGCACTATTGGATATCGGCATGTTCACGTGCAGCCGCTAGACCGTTAGGCAGCATGAGGACGCAGCATCGGCTTTTCACTCTGCACCATCTCATACTGCATGACACTAAGGGATTCGTTAACCTCTGCAGCTCTCTTTGGTGTGGCATTTTTCATCAGCTTTGATCTGTACTCCTTTTTCTTCTTTCTGGCCACTGCTATGGAGTCCCAAAATCAACGCGGGGGTAGCAGCCTGAAAGACCTAGATACCCAACACCTCAGTGCATTCCAGCGTGCTCTGAGACGTATACTAGGGAGTGATATAGCAGAGCAAACATATGCTGAAGTACTTGATGGCTTGCCATTAAGCGACTCGTATTTGTCTTTCCAATACCCGCAAGATGGCCATCCTGCCCTTGAACACGAGGAACTTTCGGAGGGCGCTCGGGAAAGAGTGTGCGAATTTCGATCAAATCTTGATATCTCATCACTGTTGTTTGAGACTACTGTAGGCAATGCTCGATTATTCCTGGCAATAATGTGACTGACATGCTTGAAGTTAGTTGAAGCCTTCAGGAAATCGGCACCTCAGTCTAAGGAATTCTATTTACGGCTTATTGAGCTTCTTGCCGTGAGCTGTCATAGGTTTGCGGTTGAGATCTTCCAGCTCGATGAAGTTGTTGAGAAACATAAAATCTACGATGTGTGGAGAGATTCTCCCAGAGATATGAACAGATGGGATTCATTCCGGGATCCAACGGCTTTTACGCATGGACCTTATATGCAGTTGACCAATATCCGAATGGGTCTGCAGATAGTGTGGGATACTGGGCTGAAGCCAGAATATTCGGTGGCGTCATTGTGTTTGATAGAGGTGAGGATGGTACTGAGGTAAGCAACATTGTCGGTTAGAAGTTATATTCTGTTAATCAGGCCGCAGAGTCGACATCTATACTTCCACGGTTGCCGCAGCGATGGACCACGAACGATATACCCTCCGACAGACCAGCAATTCGAACAAATGATTCAATTCCTTCTTGACGAAAGTGAGAGTCATGATAACCCGTTTCCTATCCTAGCAACACCGCAGAACCGTTGGCGCTGGGATCCGTGGGATGCAATGGCGCGCTACAATATCTACCGTGATAGATTTGAGCGTAAAATTAGCCCCAGTAAAGGGAAGCCATGCGTTCTGAACTCCATTGACTGGCCCGAAATCAAGGATGACCTATATCTCATCAATGCTATGCATGAGCGGTTGGAGGGAAAGTCGGTGGATGAAGAGGAGATCGCTGCGGCTAAAGAGGGGATAACCAAGATTACTCCATCATCGCCGTTATGGTCAGACCAAGGACAGCGGACATACCAGGGAATATAGAAAATGAACATGTGTATCAATGGAAATGCCATTTTCCTGCGTATTAAACATCACTGGACGGTCCTTCATGAATGATTATCTGCGTTGGGAGAAAATCGCGCATCAACAGCTGAACAAGCACCACTACAAAAGGACCAACGCTTTCACCAACACGAAATAAAACAAAAAGCATGAGGCACACCCGACTCGAACGGATAACCTTCAGGAATCAAGCATATTTTCAAGAGAACCTCGAAATTAACTGGAATCTGACGCGCTACCAGTTGCGCCAGCGCCCCATCGGCTGGCCGGAGTTGTTTCTGCTTCCAGTCTATATGGACGGGGCCTGGAGCTTACAATGTGGGTTTGCCTCGCTGCCGAGAAATGCCGAGCTTCGTCGGAAGAAGAAGGCTTGACAATTTCAAGATCATTCAGGTTGGGAGATGCAAGATACAGAATGACAAAGGATCGTGATATTGTTTGAACTAAGCTATGACTCTAGTGCTGTGGACTCATCCGAGGCTCTGAATCTCGCTCAATACACCCGCACTCCAGCCCCTCATTCTCGTGGTGCACTGTTTCGCTCACAGACACAATCATGGGATATCACTAGAATCGCTGAACAGCCTACTTCTTGGTGTCGGCGGAACCGTTCCACTGGAAAGAGGACGGCTGGTATGAAAGCGCGGGCCCAGATTCAAAGAGCCCAGAGCCGCTTCCGAAGGTTACGGCAGTCTTTGTCGCTGATGGCACTGGGCTTGATGGTTTCACTGGAGCATTCGAGAAGTTGAAGGGATTATCAGCCTTGAAGGGACTCACAGCCTTGGGCAAGTTAGGGATTGTCGTCCAGCCATTAAATTGAGCTTTAGAAGGGTTGATAACACTGGGTGGGCTCGTCTTCTTGTCATTCTCCGTAGGAGCCACTTTAGATGTCGTCGTGGCACTGACTTGAGGCTCGTTTGCCGTAGAAGGTAACGCTTGTCCGTTAGTATCATCACAATTCAGGTTCTGAGCCGCGTGACCTACGAGTTACTGCTCTTGGCTTGTATCGCCGGCATTGGGCCAAACCCTGTCTGAGGATCTCCACCTCCTCTTGCAGGCTCTTTCTTCGAGACGATGTATCGTCCGATTCACCAGCCAACTCCTCAAGTCTTTCCTTACTCATTCGATCTACCTTTGTGGGTGTGAGGATATCTGGTATATCATACACAAGGCAACTTTCAACTGCCAGGTTGATGACGTTGTCGGTGAAGGTGCGCAGAGACATCTTCAAAAGTTAGTATCAGGGATTATGAGGTCTGGTTTTGTCTTACAGTATAGTATGTCAACATCGTGTCTATGACTTTGTTGATTCCAAACTCACTATCTTCAAGCTCGTCTTCCTCAATGATGTCTTGAGCAATCGCTTTAGAGTCAAACTTCTTACTCCCATCTCCTGTCTTTGATGTGTTACCCTCAAGCAAGTGAGGATACTTGTCTTGCAGAACAGCAGAGATACGTCTCTCCAGCTTTTCATCTGAGGTTTTTGACATCATGTCATAGAATAACAAGTCAAGAGGAAGTGCGTAACCTTGGACATAGGGCCTTAGTAGCTCGTCGATCTTCTTCTGAAGCTCTTTTTCCTTTTCATCAAAGAATGGGTCGACGCAGGTCGACAGGATTGCCTCCGTAGTTCGATTTGTCCGTGGGGATCCAACAACATACTCAAAGACTTGATCAACAAAAGCCTTTGCAACTGTCGTTACCAACTTGACATGTGACTCGGCGATACCTCTCCACGGTGCGGCTTGTTGTTTGAAGAGCTGCATGGCAAGATCCTTGTGAGGGGTTCCTGGAAACTCCAACCCTTGGTTCGCAGCGGCTTGTTTCTCAAGTTGCTCAGCGAGCTCGCTTCTCGTGATCTTCTGTGGCTGTGGAGGGTTGTAGGGGTAACGTTCCAGAAACTCTTCGAGGTACACGGGAATTTCGCCATCATCGGAATCACTATCATCATCTGAGACGGTGACATGAGTCGAACCCTTAGTCTGAAGGATATGATCAAAAGCTCGACTGAAGTTCCGCAGCTGTGCTCGCAACTTTCGGTCATCGTCCTGCAAGCCGCCGAAGAATTCGTCATTGTATCGGCCGTATATGCCATCCCTGGGAGTCGCTGAAAGTCACTGGCAATGCCAAGCAGAAAAGACCTGAGGTCCTCTTGAGTGGATCTAGATTTCCCTAGACGATCAAGTTCCTCTTGCCTCTCTCTCAGCGTCGTTTCGATGTCTGTAATGACTCCAGGCAGACTGTTACGAATGTGACTGTAGAGCACATGGCTGAGCTTCTTTCGTAAACTCACAATTCCACGATTCTCGGAGGGAATAGTCGCCCAAGCGCCCTTCTGGAAGAACGCGTCTTCGACCTGGTCTCGGCCTTCCAAGCTGCTCTCATCTTCGGCCCTGTTGCGCAGGACATGCCACCCGAGCTGCAACTTATGCGCGGCTTCCTGATTCTTAGCCAACTTGATGTATTCCTTCTCAGCATCGTAGCCAGGGCGAGTCAAATCAGGCTTTGTTATGACACCAATGGTTCGCCGACGTTCCGGATCGATGTTCTTAGCTTTCTGGAGCGCTAAGTGATTAGCAAGGTTGTTATTCGCAGTGATAACTACCAGGATGATGCTGTTCTTCTGTCGCATGTAGCTCTCAACAAGTTGGTCGACCGTTTCTTTACCACTGATTGACTGGTTTTCGGTAGCAACCTGGAAGAATCCTGGAAGGTCAACGAGACTTAATGGGTACATCTTTGGCCCTTCGATTTCTAGACGGAGCACGTCCTTGGAGAACTCCATCCCGGCCTTGCCAAAGCCCATGCACTCCTTGGCTTCCGTGATGATGTCGCCCAAGTCATCCTCACGAAATCCAGCCCTCTGGAATCTCTTTGCGGGCTTGGATCTGTCTTCAAATCTGACGCTCACATCAATGCGAGTCTCGTTAGCTCGCCTGAAAATGAGCTCAGTTGCAAACCTTGTGCAAAGATTTCCTTGGACTGGAAAGCGAACATGGGAAATGGCCTCAAGAACGGAGGACTTGCCAGCGGACTGATCGCCAACAACGATGATTTGCGGGAGATTGACGATACGGCCGACGCCGCAAGCACTCAGACTGTCGCTTATATCATGGAGGGCTTGGTCTCACTGGTGTTGAGCTGTTCGAGAATATTGGTGTCTAGAGAAACATCCATTGTAAAGGTCAAAGAATTTAATTGTCACGTATGCAGATATGAAAAGTTTGTGTTTATTCCATTCAATGCAAACCAGACATTCACTCAAACCTCCTTTATGTACTGATCCTGAGGAAAGCCCTAAGTTTGGAATGGTACAACAAGGGGCAAACGCGCGCTTCAACATCAATCTAATTTGTTATCTGCAGTAATCACACCACTGTAGAGTTTCAGTCAATGCAGGGGCATGTTTCTGTTGGTTCTGCCTGACAACAGGGTTTCGTGTGACAACAACAACCAACATGCATATGGAGGAACACAAGGTACGCTCGAAACACAGCTGCCTAAAAGCACCCTGCACACAGGGGACCAAGATTCTAGTACATGTATTATCTAGCAATGTGTTGATTGTGGTTATGGGTTATCGTATGCTTCGCATCCTGATTCCAGATAGTGTCGATTGTTGAGTGGTTTTGCTTCAATGAATAGGCCTCTTCTGTGATAGCCTTTTCACAGTCAGCTCAGTGCTCGCTGTTTATTAGCCGCTGTATCCTTGTGTTTGATGGACCTGAAAATTTGACCTAGCTTAAAAAGGTCTAAGGCCAGGTCTAAAGGTAACTACAGTAACTATTTATGGTGATTTCAGCTTGCTAGCGCGAGGGGGCTGTGCAGTTCAAAGCTCAGTCTTGGGGTTCCGACTTTGCAATCGCGGAAAGCATCGTAATTACAGAGTACTGATCAATAATACATTGCTAGATTGTTGACAACCTTAGTTCCATATCACATTGCTCTCTTGGTGCCGACTTTGTGATCGGCTGTTAAAACGAACGTGGGTACTCCGTAGTCTCGTCGAGAAATCCATCCTTGGCCAGACCACGGCCATGTCTCAGCCACTGGAATTAGCTTCAACAACCCCTCCTTCAGTCAGCCCTCACTGCTCTCCACACATCGACTTCAAAACCGGGGGCGGGCTCTCTTGACAATTCTGACGACAGAGAACATTGCATGTACTTCTCGGCAACCATGAGTTTCCAGGCAGACCTTCTATTGGTCAACATCTATGATGCGCTTCGCGAAAAGTTCGATCCTGAAGATAAGACTCTCTTCCAGATCCAGGTCCCCACTCAGCTTCTGGACAGAAGCGCCTTCCACTACGATGGAAGCGATTCGGACTTCACACAGATGACCAAGCCATCCTCCGTAGCTGAAGCCGAGTTCAGTCTCACAGATGGTATGCTAGACTTATCCAACATTGTTGGCGGTCCCAACGGGAACAAACTCTCAGAGAAATACGACCAGGTACTTTCCGGCCTCATCTCGGCCGACGAAGAAGCCAACCCAGACCAAACGGGTGAAGCATTACAGCAGGCCAGAGAGGACCTGAGGTCTTGCGCAAACCGCAACATGGATGACACAGAAGACATTTATCCTATTAATCTTGTCCCTAGCGACTGGGCTAAAAGTCTCTCGGACCCTTCACAGCAAGATAATACTGGTGGTAGTCAGAGTCAGCTACAAGACGCCATAAGCCGACGTAGCTTTTTTAAAGCAAGGAAGAACGCTCTCATGGCCGCCTTGGGTGACCTCAAGCCGTTGCAAAAGGCTGCGGATGATGCAAGAGCAGCTGTTGACGCCATAGAAGCGGAAATGGCCAAGCGCTTTACTGATTCAGCCATCGTGTGCATAAAGATATACTTTTCTCAAGCTTGTTCAACGGCACAGGACGATATTGCAGCTATAAGAGGACTAAACGACACGAACAAGATCGAACTCAGTACATTGCTCCAGAAGTACCAGCAAGGGCCCCTGAGCGATGAACAATGGAAATTCCTGCTTGAACTGCAAATGAAACATGTCCAAAGTTCCAACGACCTTGTTAAGGCTACCGAAGCACTTAACCGGGCTCAGTCGGAGGTCTTACAGGCCACATCCCGTGATAGGGGCGATGAACTTGCTGGCATTAATGATCAGATTGCGTCGCTTACTGTGGAAATTGAGAAGTATCAAAACATGCTCCGAGGAACTGGCAGTCAGAACTATCAGGAAACTTCCAATGCTTTCCAAGGCAGTGCTTCAACTCCAGGTTGGGAGACCTTGACCATTGACAGTTGGACATCGACGCAGTCCCAGTCAAGACTCAGTTGTACTTCGTCTTCGAATCCGGCATGGGCAACCAATCTTTTGTCCTCTAGCGAGTCTGGTATCACTAGCTTTACCACTAGCGGCCAGAGAAACACTTTGTCTACTGAAAACACCGATGTCAAGGTTGTGTTCAGCGCAAGGAAAGTTGCTATCGACAGACCATGGTTCAAGGCCCAGGTGCTTGGCAAAAGCACCGACCCTACAGCAAATATCTCAGCAGGTAACGCTGAGGATGTCCGCAAACTATTCGCTAGCGGGTCGATAATCGATACCACTGAGTGTCAGTTACCGGCCTGGACTACTGGCTTCCTTGTTGTCCAGGATATGTGCATTACCCTAACCTCTCATACGACCTTCCAGGGGAGTGAGGTCCAGGACATCGACGACTGTCTATCATCAGGTGGTAGCTTGCTAGCATTTCGAGCTTTCAAGAGTGGCACGGATGGAAATAAGGGGGCTGGGTACGGTATGAAGAGTGATGATAAAATGATACAGATCCGTATTTCTGCACCTCAAATTCTTGGCTGGTTCACGCAGACATCTCCATAGGATGGTTATATACGAGTAGAGGAACGTTGAGTATAAGCTAGCCACCTTTGCAATCAGTAGTGAGCATGTCGATTTTCCAAACTCATCGAAAGCTGGAATGTGAAATGTCAATTGGCATTTTGTCTGACTCATAGCTGAAATATATAAGCTTATAGGTGGCAGTCAACTACATTGTAGCTCAAATATATCTTGTCCGTCCGTTCATGAGAGATGAATCTTTGGAAACCCAACCAGAAAGAATGATTCCATATACATATTGAAACCTTTGTAACAGACACCGGAAACCAAGGCCATCCGATGAACCACTACAACAACATGTATCGAGAATCAACAATGTGCAGCAGGCTTTTAAACCCGAACATGTACCCTGCCTTAGTCCCTTATATGTGCTATTTCAACCTCAGAAGCAAGACCAAAAACTCTTCTAATGAATGATCTGCATTCGTCCCTCTCTTTACCGACGGGATAGGGCTGGACAACCCCCTGCGCTTCCTCGACGAATTTCATCGGACGTTGCCCACAAAGGATCCATTCGAGCTTTGGCAACACTGCTCGGTAACCCCTTGCATACTCAAGCATGCGATACAAATGTGCGTACGACCACGCTATCCTTGCATCGCTTCGACCCTTCTCCACGTAGGGAGCAAGCTCCGGGTGATCCTTGGCCGTCTGGAAATCTTCTGCGTTCGCAAAAGCCTGTGCATAGTAATAGATATGCCCCATATCTTCGTTCATCCTCGGAGTATATGTATCTCCCCTTATTACCAGCATCCTAAGGTTCTTGAGACTTTGCAGACGAGCTTGCATTTTTCCATGGTCGATGGGCCAGATGGGGTAGGTCTCGTCTGTGTAGTCCTCGTAAGAGGTGTACTCAGGTGTCATTTCATCGCAGCGTAGGCCCAACTGCTCCAGAGTTGTAAGCTCGCAGATAGCCGCTAGGGATTCCGACGGGATGCCGAAATGGTCTTTGCCGTGGCCAGCATCCTTATTTTGACCACCCCATTTAATATACAAGGAGCGGAGGTTATTGAATCGACCCTTTCCAAGGCCAGGGATCAAGACTCGATCGAAAGAATTATCACGACCCGACATATAGTAACTTTGAGTCACCCAAAGCTTCTTCAAGCCATTATGCTTGAGGATCAATTCTGTGATAAGCTGCATATTATCAGCAAAGTCGACAACAAGCTCCTCAAGATCCCGATATGGCTCTTCGGCATGGGGACGAATGATATCCTCAAATAACCGAACAGACGAGTGAGCCAGTTCAAGGGACTTGAGTGGCGCAGAAGGGAAAGCAGCAAAGCTTGGTCTATCCATTACATCGAGACCGGGCCTGATTCGGAGCTTTCGCAGTTTGGGAAAGGACGTCCCAAGAGAGAGAGGCTCCCAAGCCTCGGGATGCCAACTCTCCCAGGTCAGTGATTCGAGAGTTGGGGAGCAAAGCTGGAAAAGACTTTTGAAGAAGCCCTGGGTGGGGTTAGGTCGCAGTGGTACGCCACGTTGACTATTCTCTTGGTCCCAGGAGCCCACCAACCTGGCATTCATCAGAGCGAGTGATCGCCAAGGCCAGGACGGCGGGGTCAGAGGAGGCCCTAGAGAAAAACTCTCCGCGATGAGGGAGTCGTTGATAAGAAGGTTATGGGCTGTAGAGCAGGCCATGAGCAGCCAGGTGTTTTTAGCTAGTGAGAAATTACAATCCCAGACCAGGGTCTCGAGGTTGCGCATGGCCTTGAGATTGAGGGCGACAGTATGTTGGATCAGTTTGAAGATCTCTGCACCTTGTTCCTTAATTTCAGAAGTTCCTCCGTACTCTTCGCCGCGATCTTCTTGGAACCTGCGCCAGACGCCATTGTGAACAGCGCGAACCTGGTATGGGTCGGGCTTGAATGTGAATTTCCGCACACAGTCTAAGATGCCGGGACCGGTGCGGCCCTCAATCGTCCCCTTGGCGAGTTGGAGCAGAAGCATGGCCTTTTTTGGGGCTGTAGTCGAATCTAAACTCGGAGAATTGGCAAGCACGAGAAAGCCCGCAGCAGTCAGAATTGACGAGGGCAAGCTCTTGCAAGGCATCCTTGTCTTGAGCGACGAACGTGACGATCTTGGCCAGGATCTCGTTGGGCATCTGAAGCAACCGGCAGTTGGACGCAAGAGGCCGACCTTGCATGACAGTGTCTAGAGCAGGGGCTCAAGGCGGGGTTCAGGCTCGCCCTGATAAAAGTCGAATTCGGCCGCCGTTGAGGCACCGTACATAAGGTTACAGATATCATAGTCGGAACGCATTGTGACACAAGGAATGAAGACGGAGGCTGTAACTATCGTGCAATTGATGTATGTTATCGACAAGTTTGGAATTCCAGGTTTGGTTTCACTATGACGGTACAGACCTTACCCCACTGGAACTGGAAAAATGAAAGCCCATCCGTATCCCTAGGAACCTACAGCAGCCATACCTACGCGGGAGGGGGTGTATCATCAGAGCTCTTATCACGTGAAAACAAGACATGCATTTACCGTAACTAGTTTTGGCATCGGCAACGCGGTAACGCGTCAGTTTCGTGATTTATCTAACACGGCAACGAATCTTTATAAAAACTGCTAACATAAAGCCGCCATTTCCACGGTGTCACAGTTACAGTTGATCAACCGTCATGGTGACAATTGGTGCAGTAGTTCAGTGTGATATGACACGTGTTGGATAGATAAGCTGTTCCACATTTGCCCACTCCATCATTATCCTTCATGTGCTGGACACTGCGAAATAGTTAGCATAAACTCATCATCGACTATGCAAGGGTTCACTTACGCATCCTTGATATCCTTGCCCTTCATTCCGAGACCATAGTCATCACACTTGAACTGCGCCGTGCAACCAGCTTGGCCAAACGACGCGAGCATGATCATACCGCTCTTGATCCTAGCATAGCGCGAGACATAGTCCGTGTATGTCGTCTCATCATCGAAACCATCGTTCAAAGCACGGTCGCATGCATCGTCGATGCTGCCGCACTGGCTAGACCCCTTGTTGTTCGCATCGGTCTGCGTGGGCAAAGGAGTCTCGAGCGTGACGCCGTCTCCGACACCCTGGGTGTAAGTATACTTTCCACCAGGGTAGTTTCCAATCTTGACTGTGCGGTCGGGGTAAGAAACCACGGTGCCATCGTCGGTCTTGACGAAAGGCTCTGGGTCGGGCTTCTCGGTGACCTTGGGCTCAAAGGCATCAGTCGCGATAGAGGACGGGAAGGTCGTGTAGTCGGCGCAAGACGATGAGATCAGATCAGTGGAAACATAGAAGCCCTTGCCACTGACTGTAGTCTCACAGGCGCAGTAAGGGTCGATGCCCGGATTGGCGTGAATGATGCAGGGATACTCGCGTTCAGGTCCCTTCGTAGTGGTGGAGGTAGCGAGAGTAGTAGACTGCAAAGAGGCCTCGGTAGATGTAGGTCCTGCTGTCGTAGACTCAGCAGTTGTGGCTTCTGTCGACGTCATCTCGGCGGTAGTGGTATCCCGAGTCTTCGTGGTCTCGGAAACCTCAGTGCTCGACTCTTCGGTAGTGGCAGACTCAGCGGAGGTCTCAGTAGTGCCTCCTGTAGTAGGGGTAGCATCAACATCGACAACGACTGTATCGACCCCCATGCTCAGCTCAGGAAGCTCAGTTGTCTGAGTGGTAGCCTCAGTGGTCTCAGTAGTGGTAGCAGAAGTCTCAGTAGTTCCTCCAGTGGTTGGAGTCGCGTCGACGTCTACAACGACCGTGTCCACGCCCATAGACAATTGAGGAAGCTCGGTAGTCTGGGTAGATGCTTCAGTGCTGGTGGCCTCCGTTGTAACTTCACTGGAAGTGGCGCCGGTGGTAGGAGTAGCGTCAACGTTCACTACGACCGTCTCAACGCCCATGGATAGTTGAGGCAGCTCAGTGATGCTAGCCTCAGTAGTGGAAGCTGCGGAAGACTCAGCAGTGGACTTGGCTTCAGTAGTCTTAGCTTCAGTCTTGGTCTCTTCCTCTGCAGTACTCTTGTCGTCGTCATCGTCATCATCTTCCTGATCATCAGGATCCTCGGGTGTCTGAGTTCCGACTGGTGTTGGGACACCTCCCTCGATGATGACAGCTGATGGAGCAGGAGTGATACCAGGGAGAGGGGGAAGGACGTAGCTTCCAGGTGCAGGCCCTAAGTCTCATGTCAGTACAAACCTGAGGGGGAAAAGGTCAGTGGACTTACCAATACCCCAAAGAACAATACCGCCAGGACCATTGTCTTTGCCAGCATGCTCACAAAAGATCAGGCAGGAGGGGCCGAAGAGGACAGGGACAACAACATCATTGCCATCGCTATCCTTGGTGCTATGAAGAGTGTTATCGCTGACACCAGAGATAGTCTCTTGGGGCTCAGCAGTGACAGCAGCAGGAGGAACTGTGATAGGAGCTTCATCATGCTTGGTGGTGGGCTCAAGTTCAGTCTCATCCTTGGTCTTGGGGTCATCATTGTCTGAGTCTTCGGACTTAGGATCAGACTCATCGCCTTTACTAGTAGGCTCAGCTTCCTCCTGCTTAGTAGTAGTAGTAGGCTTGGGGTCCTCAGACTTCTCAGTCGTTGATGGCACCTTAACAGGCTGTTCTGAGGAAGTGATGACGACAACAGGAGCCTGGGAACTGGTAGTCTCTTCTCCAACAAAAGGTTGGGAAGTGGTATCCAGAGGTGCCAGTTGCTCAGTTGTGGAGTCTTGAGCAGGAGGCTGCTGGGTGGTTGTGTCAACAGCAGGTCCTTGCTCAGTAGTTGACTGAGGTGCAGGGGGCTGTTGGCTAGTAGGCTCGACACCAGGTGTCTGATCAGTTGTGGCAGTATTGAGAGCAGGAGGTTGCTGAGTAGTTGTCTCTGCTACTAGGAGCCCCTGTGATGTTGTAGTGTCGATAGCTGGAGGCTGTTGAGCCGTAGTCTCAGGACCAGTGGGCAGTCCCGTCCCAGTATTGGGCTGTTCAATAGGGATATCACCCGAGGATGTCGAGTCAAGAGGCGACTCGCCATTGGCAGTAGAAGTACCTCCAACCGCAATGTCGGTGCTCTTTGACTCAGGCAGCTCAGGCAAGATATCGGTTGAAGTAGATGCAATATCAGGAACCGGAACACCTGTGCTAATCTCTGGGAGCGCAATATCTGATGAAGTGGTCTGATCAAGCACAGGAATCTCGGACGAAGTAGTCTCAAAGGGAAGAGGGTGCAGAGTCGTGGTGGTAGATTCACCATTGGCTCCAGGAGTCTCTGGGAGTTGAGCCTCTGCCAGAGCGGCGAGAGCCACAACAAGGCCGACCAGACGCATAACGAGTGATTGTCTGGGCCTCAAAATAAAAAGAATGACTTAGTTGGCGTGTAACGAATGAAAGAACTCAGTATGAGTATGTCGGGCTAGGCCTATACGACGGACTGCAGACACAACAGAGTAAGTATATAACCCGGATAGTAACTCAAGCTTACATCTCACCTAAAGTTTCACGACTCCTAGCTCATCTGCTTATCCATTGTGATAAGGCGCTATGGCCAGCCTAATCTTCCTAGATCCACAGAGGGGACATGCAACTGAAACGATTCAGAAGGATCAAATCCTAGTTACATTCGAGGTTCATCGCCATGTTATGATATCGGCCCGTGCCGTTCCAAGCCACATCTCACCGGGTGCCTTTTTCCGTCTCTTCAATTTTTCTTAGATCCTGGCTTACCCCTGTGGATCGCTTCCTTTTCGATGCGGAGCTGAACTTGTGAGGTTGCATCGATGACGTTAGACAGCCTTGAAAGACCACTGAAGGATGCGCATGATTGATGAATCTCCAGTTTCAATCTCTTTCTTCTGCTCGACATGAATCGCTTCTTCTGACTTCGCCCTGGTTCGGGCATTTCCATTTACGACTGTCACAGTCACAGTGGAAACCCAGTATGGAAAAAGCCGTCTATCACTTCTTCGGCCTCAAATTGTTCAGTACAAGACGGAGCATCCCATTAACAAAAAATACGCCATGTATCAAAGCTTGAGTGTCAATTACATCTTCCATGTTTGAAGCTTTTTTATCATCGACTTCCACCAAAACAAAGCGATAGTCAATAAACATGCTTAATCTTAAAGATGTTGTTACGCGTCAGCCCATCAGTTGCCGTTGCAGCCGTTCGGCCCACGTTCGTAGAACCGGCCTATAAAATAACAGTCAGACCGAACAAGTGGGTAGTAGTACATTGAAAATAGGACCCTTTAGCCAACATAGGCTCCATCCGTGAAAGATCTCCATAGCTGAGCGCCCTACTGGGCCAAACATGTTACAACGCTCGATCCTTCGGGGGCGGTGACATTCTCAGCCTTGCAATGGTGGCTGACTGTCACATCAAGCGAATCCTTCACGCTTATCTATGGATCGCAATCTAACCATCCCTTTCATGGTAAAGTTCTCGGGATCGCGAACGTTCGAGGCTATGTAAAGAACAAGAGATTAGGATGAACATCCATAAGCGCCGAGTGATACCTCGAGCCAGCTAAAAATCGTCTTCTGAATAGACAACCATGGTTTACAATAAGCAAATGCAACATCGATCCAGTTTTAGGATTGATCAACAGTGGACTGGACGATAAAGTTAGAATTCTAATCAATCACTCTGCATCACCTTTCAGAACTTCTTGTCCATCATTATCCGCCGACAAGCTGACGGGTAAGACGGAAAGGTCAGGACTTTCGGAGTTTTCATGTCTTGGCTGACGATCTCAACTTCGTCCCGCCTTGCAAGTCCCATCGTGCACAGACAGATCATGCCAAGAATGAACGACGAACCCGCTTTTTCACGATCCTTTCTATGGAACTCGTGTACTGTAATTTCATCCTGATTCAAGCCTTGACGGTTGATGGCCGGAGATTCCAGTGTTGCATTACTGTTGTCAGCTTACACCGACATCCCTACTCTATCCAGCATATATGTAGGATAGAAACTCTGAAGTTGTCCAGTATCACCCATCTCATTGCATCGAGCAATACTGTCTTCTTCAACCATCTTTCGTTTTATACACTCGTTTAGTTAAACCGTCACTCTTTTAGACCTATTCAGCTCATCATCATGTTGAGCTCTAAGAGTTTCCAGAACGGCTGGGCCAAGCTGTTGGCCTCGCTATTTTTCCTGCTTGCTGCTTCTCAGGTCTGCATCGCTGCGCCCTACACCAATCAGTGAGTCAACTCCTCATAACCATCTTTCAATGAAGCTAATGCACCAAGGCTTGCTGTTCGCGATGATCAACATATCTACGCCAGAGTCATGACTCCTGAGCTAGAAGCCTACGAGAAGAAGCTCAGCGAAAGCAAGAAAGCCGACACATACGTCGAACAGGATCAGACAAAGTTTGTAGACTTCACTGCTGCTGGTAATCACGTTGTTGGAAGCTCATCCTTCGCTGGCTGCTTCGGTGTCATCCTTGCAACTAAGCAAGGTGCCATTGTCGCCCATTACAATCTTGACCAGAAGGGCTTAGACACAGCCAAGAAGAGAATTACCGACGAATACAACGACCACAACGACAAGGTTGGAGGCGCTGAGGCCCATCTTTACTCTGCCATAACCTATGCAACCGGGGCGCTTGTTGAGGAAAACCTGTACAACGAGTACAAGAAGTTTATCAAGGAACTTGTTGGAAAGGAGCCCCAGGACCATCACTACACTGAGGCTCTTGAGACTCTTTCCGACGAAGATCTTGAAAATGAAAACTGGGATGAGAATGCAGTGAGTGGTGGTTTCGTCGTGGAGAACCCTGGCGGTGGCAGTGCCGATACTAGTCTCTTCTTCATTACCATTGAGCGACAGAAAGTCAGTGCTCAGGGGCCTGGTAAGTGATGACAGCCATGTCTAGTTGTCACCTCAGTCCCAGAGTCCGGGCGCTTATGATGCGGAACTTCACTCTTGCGCCTGCCATCCATGTCAAATACAAACTATGGCAACTTTACCTTTAATCAACCTACCTTTTTTTTTTATAAAAAAAAAAAAAAGTCTCGTATCATATTGAACTCGTCGCTTTTCGTTTTACAGTCCTATGTCGTGATTAAGATAAGACCTGTGAAGATCTCGAAACAAAAGTAGCCCCTGGAAAATATTGGCCATGTATTAAACTTAAAGCTAGCTGATGATAGACGTGCCAAAAGAGATGCAGTTATATGACATGTCGGCCATTTGGTACTACTACTTTCTTCGCTGAATACCCAGGCATTCAAGGAATGGACCGTCGTGACAGGCCACCAAATATGCTTGCTCCGTGGTAGACTCATTAATATGCTGAACCTTGCACCACGAGGGTACAGCAAAAGTGTCGCGTGCCTCCCACCTGAACGTCATCATCTCCCCAGTTGGCGTCACAAGCTCAGTGCGGCCCTTTCCTTCATAGCAGTGATAAAGATAGGACTGGCTTTCTTGCGACTCCACCGTGGCACCAGGGCTCAGTCTCTCGGCCTGAACGCCGAGGAATGTCGATAAAGGCTTTCCATTTGAGAGCTTATAGTGATAGATGGAATAGTCGCTCTTGTCAGCGTTGAGTTCTTTCTCAACGGGAGCCCATGGGAAACGGAACTCGCAAGGGTCGCAATGTCTGACAACGTTAGCGAAAGCATCATAGTCGCGCAGGGTAGAGAGATACTGACTCGCTGGGATAGCGTGGGTCAGAGTAGCCCTCAGCGAAGTGGACTGGGGCAAAGCGGAATAGAGGAAGGTTCAGCATATCCAACCAGATGACTGGCTTGTCATTCTCGTTTCCATGGTCATGCCAGTGCCAGATCGGTGTGATGACAACATCGCCTCTGACGAGAGGCATCTTCTTGCCCTCAACCGCTGTGAAGCCTTCACCATCGATGATGAAGCGAGCTGCAAAGGCAAGATGTCTATGTGCTGGCGCTGTCTCTCCAGGATTGACGATCTGAAGACCTCCATAAATAGTATCTGTTGTGTATGGTGATTCTAAAAATGTCAGTGAAATGAAGCCAGTACTTTCGTAGATATGATGTACTCACGCATGCTAGGGTTTACTAGCATCAAGACTCGGCGCTCAGCCTTCTCTTCTGGTACCAACTTGGCTGCTGTCTCCAAATGAGGCAAGGCCTCTCTGTATGTCCACATGTGCGGTTTCGCTGTGGGGTTCGGTGTCGGCGGCACCATCATGCTCATCTGTGACCAAAGAGGCTCCAGGTTCTTCGATGGTAGTTCGCTGAGATACTGCTTCATCTCTGGCGAGTCGCCATCCGAGGCGCCCGACGCCACTGTGCTAGTATAATTCCCCATCGCTTATGTGGTCTCTTCAAGAAATAAAATGCACTTGAGATGACTTTTGGCTCAGATAGTGATTCGCAATTGTCGTTGGAGTGTTCTCTAGATAAATAGCGGGTTGATGGATGGTCTTGAGTGGATAGCAATCGTAAGATCCCCAGACACGAGAAAGCTGGGGAAGTAGCACCGATAGGCAACACAATTGCTACAACCGTTACATTGAACCGCGTCTAATCAATCATCCACAACAGCCGAAGCCAATATCCGTTCTCCGGCTTGACTCCGGTGGGATCCGGACTCTGAGCTTCCGACCGGATCGCGCTATGAGTGGCCACAACAGTGGACCTCACTACCAACGCTCTCCGACAATCATCACGCCTTTTAGAAACAACTATAACAGGTAGTATACAACCTTGAAGATAATACAGCAATGAGAATAGCCAGTATCGTGTCACCATTGTATCGCAGAAGTTTCACAACATCATTCTCTCGCAAAATGTCCTCAACAACTTGGAACCGCCTCATCCGCTTTGTCGATGACAACGGAAATGAGACCTTTGGAGACCCCGTCATTGAGAATGACAAGGACTTTTCCGAGAAGTTGGCCAAGAATCACTTATGGGCTGTTGAGTACAAGGGTCAGAGTCCTGTGGCGCAACTCACCAAGGGTGGCAAGGTACATGTCAAGGCTGTAAAGGAGCTGCTGCGACCGGCTGATGTGCCTATCATCCGATGCATTGGCCTTAACTACATCAAGCACAGTAAGTGACCAAGTACCTATTGGCTGGGACTATACTAACTCTAGTTTTCAGTCAAGGAAGGTGGCCGAACACCGCCGCCTTATCCCTCATTGTTCATCAAGCCCTCTACCTCCATTGCTGGCTTCAATGAGGATGTCCCCATTCCCAAGATCGCCCAAGATGGCACAATAGACTACGAGGGAGAGCTTGTAAGCATTCTGGCTATCATCCTACCGGAAACTGGCTAATATCAAAATCTAGGGTATCGTGATTGGCAAGTCTGGCAAGAACATCACCAAGGAAGATGCTCTCTCTTACGTAGCAGGCTACGTCGTCTCCAACGATGTCTCCGCTCGAGCATGGCAACGAGATCCCAAGAAGGCCGGCGGTGTTCCCCAATGGTGCTTCAGCAAGGGTTTCGACAAGTTCGCGCCCATTGGACCTCTTCTCGTCTCTCCAGCCGTCGTTGGTAACGCTTCCAAGCTGCACCTGACAACAACTGTCAACGGCGAGGTGAGACAAAGCGAGGGTACGAATGATCTTCTTTTCGGCGTCGAGGAGATCGTAAGCTTCATCAGCCAAGGCACAACGCTAGAAGCCGGAACTGTTGTTCTCACAGGAACGCCTTGTGGCGTTGCCATGGGAATGAAGGAGCCTAAGTATCTTAATGACGGTGATGTTGTAGAGGTTAGCATCACCGAGTTGGGAAGTGTCAAGAACAAGATGGTCTTCGAGTAATGGATAGATAAAAACATGGTATCTGGGTAAATAGACATAGAAGCAACATTTCCATTATGTTATTCGTTCAAAAGCTCCCAAACTCCTTGAACATCGTTCAGCCATGACATGTCATTTACATCCAAGTTGAAAGCCGCAAGCTCCTGAGGATTAAAGTCCGGTATTGGGGTCTGAAACTCTTCAGCGAGTTGCTGGACAAGATCAGGGACTTCCATGCTCGTCATCAGTTGCTGAGGGAGACCTGGGTTGTTCCCTTCGCCCGGTCTGCTGGTGTTCGCCGCTTCACGTCCTGGTGAACCACGAGGCGTTGCTTGTAAGATCTTTGAAGAAAGAATATGTAGCGCTGCAACGCACCGGCGAGGAGACTGGCCGAATTGCTCGTGAGCCTTGAGTACTGAAATAGCTTGGCCCCAAGATCTCCCGATTTCAACGGCTGAGAAGACATCTGGTCGAAGTTTGGCAGCAATCAGTACGGTGGCGGCGGAGTAGATGTAGTATACTCGATACCACCAGGCCGGGAGCAGACCGACGGTGCCGTCTAGTGTCTGGTGCTTCACCAGAGTGTTGATCATATTCTGGGCGGTCGTGACGCAGAACATTGCACCTTGTTGAACGACACGAGCTTGGAGGTTATCGTCCATTGGCTTTTTGTCTTGGGGAGATTGTGTGAGACAGAATCTGGAGAGGACTGGTCGTAGCAGAAGGATACGGGCATGGAGGAATCTGTTCATGAGTCAGTCGCCATAAGCCGCTGTGAAATTAGGAGACGCATACCTCATTCGTAAAATTACAGCTTGTCGCCGTGCTATTTCATCTTTATTTGACTCCAGCAACTCCCACCTGAGATGGTCTGGTAGCTTTGACTGCCATCTGCTGATACAGCGATCCAGCTGTACCACTCTATCCAGATCTTCATCCTCACCATCCAGGCCCTCAAGATCAAAATGCGATTCCTTATCCTTCGGCTTACTGCCCTGTGAACCGTCGTAGAACGCGATCATGGTCTTGTGGATTATCTCGTAAAGTCGCACTGATCTCACAAAGAAGCTGTAATATTCCAAGCCTTGCATTCCGTTCTGGGCGTTTGATGTTTCTGCCGGATGTGGTACGTTCTTTGCAGGATGCTGGGAGATCATGGCAGGGCGACCATGGGTCACGGATACCATGCTGGCTGGATTAGCTGACTGGAAGCCAAGATACAGTCAAGTTCACTCACCGATCCATCAGAACACATCCATACCATATCCTGCGCAGCAACTCTCGCTCGCCAGGGTCCGAGCGATTGGCTGAGGTCTCAGGCAGATGAAGTCCTAACCCTTGAGCCATCCTGATGGCAGAGCCAATAACCATCCATGTCTGATGAGGGTTATATGTGCTCTGAAGATACTGGCTCGTTACCAGTAGACACTGCACCAACTCGAGGGAGCCAGGTTCCCACGGACTCATCGGCAATAACTCCTGGGCCCTCTGGAAGTATGTCTCACTCGACTGTTCTCGCTGTTCTAGCGAATGCGATTCGACGAGTTGGGTGGACAGTGCCAAGATGACATTCAGTGTAGCGATGAAGACTCGCTCATTCAAGTCCATCGTCGTTCCAGAGAATATAGCATTATAAGCACGAGTCCATCGGTTTCTATCCAGGAAAGGATACAACGGATCAACATAGAACCAATACAGCTCTATCAAATGATCGGCTTGCCTCCGTGGCGGTAGGACGTATGAGAAGTCCGGTGATGTGACTGAGGCAGAGCCCATTACTCCAGCCGACCGAGACGTGTTTGACGCATTGTCACTTGAGCTTGCAGGTTTCCCTAGCCTCACATCAATGGCCTTCTTGATCTGAGCAGTGAATGAGCCCGCACTGCTCTTCCCAAAGAACTCCTCAGTACTCGTCCCCTCATCGATGACCGCTGTCATGGAGTCAACAGCAGAAGGACTGTTTGAACAAACTGAAGCTCCGACATTGCGTTGACCACCATGTGAGTCTGGCCTGGCGCCGCTGCCGGGTGTAGATGTTACTGGGGAGTGATGATGTGGCGGTGGTGGCGGCGGCAGAGACAGAGGCATAGACCGTCGCGGCTGAGGCTCGTATGTATTCACGGCTCGTAGAATCGGAACAGGTGGGCTTGCCATAGAGGGAGAACTAGAACTACCCTGTCTTTGCACTGGCAATGCTTGTGCTGGAGGAGCAACAGGACGTCCATTCTGGGCTGCAGTGAAAGGCGCTGCTATTGGCGGGCGATGATGTATGAAGGCCGTCGAGCTAGCGCTAAAGTTGCACTTGTCCCTCAGGGCCAATTTCCTACTACACGAGCCACAGACTGCAGCGTCTTAGCCTTTGTGCCCTCCCCTCCTGGGGCTATGGGTGTCTGTCGGTCTCACCTGGTCGTACACCGTCACACTTGACCTTCTTGGCTCTGCAGTTGTCACAAGCGACATCAATCTTGAGGCGTTTTGCCCCACTCTGGCGATGAGCAGAGGCACCGTCATCTGTTCGTCGTGGAGGCTCCATGTGTAGTTCCGTATCCGAAAGGGATGTTGCGGGTTGTTGGGTCGGGAGAGGATGGCTTTTCGGAATGGACATGAATTGGTTCGGAACGGGGGGATCCCCAGAATTAAGAGATAAGATTATGAGGCTGGAAGCTGGGATGGCTTACGGCTAAAATCCGGGGAGCATAAGCGGGGTTCCGAGAATCTCTCTGCATTAGCTCACTCGGAGCTCGTCGGTCAGTGGTAACATACCGGATAACTACAACTGACTGAGCTGAAGTGGCATCATCAACAAAATAATTAACCGTCACAAGTGGTTTCTGCTGTTCTCGTGACTGATTGCACTATTGCTTGTATCTCCTTTTGGGCTCAATAACCCCAGCCGAGGTCTGTATGATGGAGCTTGACCTCTCCAAACCAATCGGTGGCCCTTGTTCTGATCCATCAACAGGCAAGGTTCCCCTCTTTCTCCGCATCCTCCGTCTCTTCTACGCGTCACTTTCGCATCTCGTCCCATTGACCCGCGTCTTTTAATGGCTCCACCCAAGTTGGCCGATTTCTAACAAAAATCTCATTCGCTGGTTGGAAGTTGAGCCTAAATCACATTTTTAGCTTCAGCGCCATCAGCGTAGGGTAGCTTACTTACCCTCGATCCAGCAATGGGAGTCGGATCATGTAGAATTTGCCCTTTGCTGCTGCTGGAATAGTCCAGAGCGTGCATCCACATGTACGGCAAAATGCCTTCTCTTTCGAACTTCCGCTCGAAGTGTCGGAGAGTGAGTACTTCGTAATAGCATCTTCAACTGTAGTGGAGACATCGACATCTTGGGCTGTGAATTTTCCAATCTGTCAGGTATGGGTTAGCTTTCACCACAGCAGCCCACGAAATGAGATTCTGTACCAGTTGATGAGTGCCACCAGCTCCTATACAGCAATGCTCACAGAAGCATGATAATACTGTAGCTGGTTCTGATGCAATTGCGAACTTTACGTTGCCACAGAGGCACTGCCCCGAATATGGTGCTGGCATGGTTCCGGATGATGTTGAGTTCCCGTTAATAGGCTGGGCAAAGAACATCTCATGTGTTTACGGCATGCCCTTTCATCACTTGAACTGTATTATACCACCTGGTGTCTGACAGTGGTGTTACCATACTCACTTACACATGAACTCCGGAAGAGGTAGTTTCGCGAATTCTTCCGGATGCGCTCCGAGTAAGACGGCTTTGAATTAAGTCTCGGACCCGATCCGAGGAACGGGTGACTATTGCCTAAATTACGCATGTACGCGCTAGGTTCCGATTCTCTAGTGTACCGGCGTGTTGGTAACGTTCTGTCCCGGGCCAAGGCCCAGACCCAGGCCTGAAGTAGATCCTCCGAGGTAGCAGAGGAGAGCTCTGGAAGTGTTACGTACAACATGAATGGAAGCGGAGCTGAGACTCTCATATCAAATTTAGGAAGAAGCGGCCTATTAGTCCTCCCAGTGACATGAACCTATTGGCGGCCGGTACTTGGATCATTGCGTGAACTCTAGCTAAGACATGCAGCGCCTTTTTGGCTCTCACCTCATGGAATGCGTTAGGTTAAGGAAGTTAATATCGTGATGGATGTAGTAAATTTAACTTCTCTATATCTATGGATCAAAAACAGCCTTTTGCACCTTCACCACAGTATCTCCAACAATATCGGCTGAAGAGACTCCCAATGAGAAGCGATAATCGTTCTCATCAGCCACCCACTTCTTCAGTCCAGAATCGAAATGTGCCAAGTCTCTCTGTCTCACCAGAAGCTTGACCAACTTTGCCTCACCAGGCTCCAATCGGACCTTCTGGAAAGCCACGAGAGCCTTGATCGGATGATCAGGAGACTGCTCAGCCGGACCAGCATAAACCTGCACCAATGCGCCGCCAGCTTGTCTCCCAGTATTGGATACTTTAGCAGAGACATACCAGTCGTCACCCTCGCGAGAAACATTGCCCAGATTATACGTAAAAGTTGTGTAAGATAGGCCGTGACCGAAGGGGAAGTTGACCTTCTCCCGAGGAAGTCGATCAAAGTGACGATATCCGACAAAAACACCCTCGGCGTAAGCAACCTTGAGCTGTCCATCTACATACTCGCCAGGGAAGTTTCCGTGCGCGGGGCAGTCCTCAATGCTCTTAGGAAAGCTTACTGGTAGTCGACCCTCTGGATTGACAGCTCCTGTAAGGACATCCGCAATAGAGTAACCGCATTCTTGGCCGGGGAACCAAGCTTGCACGACAGCGGGGACTTGCTCCAGCCAAGGCATAGCGATAGCAACACCGGTAGAGTTGACAACCACTGTGTTGGGGTTGACAGATGCCACGGTAGACACGAGAGCGTCTTGCGTGCCCTTTCGGGGAAGATTGAATCCATCTTGATCTCGACCTTCCGTCTCCCATTGAGGATCGTGTCCGGTAAAAACGATCGCGTAATCAGCAGCCTTGGCTACATCAGCAGCTTCTCCGACAAGATCCGCATCGTGGTCGGATTCAAGTGAGAAGCCGACACGAACACCACTACGACCTTCGAGAATAGTCAGGCCGATCTTGGTAGGCGGATCACTGCAGATTTTAAGGCGATAAGTCTTTCCCCCTTCAAACTTATGGCGGAACTCTGGCTCTGGGGCAGCTAAGAATAGAGAGCCCATAGGGTCAGTGCAGTTGGCAGTCTGCTCATAGATGATCTCGTCATCAACATAGACCCTTGTGGGTCCCAATCCAGAACAGGCGATGTAGTGCTCTCCTGTCTCGGCCGGCGTAAAGTCGCCGACAATCTCAAGTCTTCTCCAGAGTGACTCTTGTGATCCCAGAGGCGAGTATGCAGAAGTTGGCTGCCCGACAGTAGATACGGGCTCAGATTCACCCTCCTTGAACAGCTGCCGACTGAACCCGGGCTTCCCATCAAGACCCACGACTTTACCGCAGAGACCATCAGGATGAATGGCGGGAAGTAGACGCTCGCGATGAGCGCCTCGCGCGTATGTGAACTCGACCTCATCGCCAAGGGCCTCGTGCAAGCCTTGCCAGGGAGTGATCTTGCGGTACGCATTGACAGCTGCACTGCCTCCTCCGTGAGCCATAGCGTCTTTAGCAAATCCAATTAGAGCAATCTTCTTCCTCTGAACCTTTTCTTTGGTGAGCGGAAGGAGATCTCCCTGGTTCTTTAGTAAGACAATACCCCGCGCTCCAGCCTCGCGGATCATGCTTCGCAGCTCGGGGGTATTTGTGTCTTGGCCAAGAGCGACAGAGTGTGACTCTGCTTCGCGGGCCTTGAGCTTCAACGCCCACTCAACAACAGACTTGGCGCGCTCATTTATGATGTTTTCTGTCAGTTCTCCTCGCTCAAGTGCCTCCTCGACAGCATCTTCCTTTCTTAGACGGGGAGGACCAGGCATCTCCAGGTCCAAACCAGCATTGAGCGCTGCAGCGACGGAATTCGTGCCGCCCCAATCACTCATGACAAGGCCTTTCCAGCCCCATTCACCACGCAAGACCTCCTGTAGAAGCCACTTGTGCTCATCGCAATGAACACCGTTGACATGATTATAAGCTGTCATGATCGCCCAAGGATTCGCTTCCTTCACAGCAATCTCAAACGGCCTGAGGTAAATCTCGCGCAATGCACGTTCATCAATGGTCTCATCAACTGTTGTACGAGCTGTTTCTTGCTCATTCGCGACGAAATGCTTTATCGTAGCAGAAATACCAAGACTTTGAAGTCCTTGTATGACTTTTGAGGACATTTTGCCGGTGAGGAATGGGTCTTCACTGTAGCTCTCGAAATTGCGACCACCAAGAGGATGGCGATGCATACAGACTGTTGGACCGAGCATGCAGTTTACTCGCTTGCCTCTAGCTTCAGCACCCAGAGCCTTGCCAAATTTCTCGGCAAGGTCCAGGTCAAATGTCGCTGCGAGATTGCATGCTGCTGGGAAACAGGCTGACTTGATGTCGAGATCTGTTGCTGCTGAGCGAATTCCGTTTGGTCCGTCGGCGGTCTTGTTTCCGTTAGTAAATGATTGGGGTAGGCAAGAGATCGAACTCACCTTGATCGAAGGAACTCCCTTTTCTGGAAAACCGACAGTTTCTGAGAAGTTCCGACCTGCTAAGAGGGAAATCTGATAAGTTAGCTTAACTGGTCTTCATACGAATGATAGCGTAGCTTACCTTCTCCTCCAGCGTCAGTGACTGTATGATCACATCAACATCCGTGTTTGCCATTTTCCCGTTGTATGCCTCGAAGGTACTGGGGCAGGGACGGATGCTGATACTCGCGAGTAATAAGCAAGCCCGGATCTCTTCTCTCTGACTTGCGTGCGGGTCGACGTCGGGAAACTGTGTCGCTAATTTTGTGGAGGTTCTGAGGGGCAGTATCTCCAGCTTAGGACTGGTTCAACTGGTAGTAGAGCATCCACCAGACTTTGACGAGCTTCGGTAAAGCGACAACAGAGACTAGAGAATTGGTCAAGGCTCGAGTCATGAGCGAGGTGGTGACCAATCGGTTGAGCGCTGCTTCGGAAGACACGACGCCGGACCAATGATGGCCTGGTCCGAAGTCTCGGAAGAGCTGGGAAGAGCGTCGGATCCAGACCAAACGCGTCAAGCCAAGACCCCATCAAACAAGTTGACAATCTCTTCAAGCGTCGATGAACGCTCCAAGTTTCCCCATGGGGTGTCAGTTTACCACCGCGTGGGGTAACATTGGATCTGCATAATCTTTTTCTGTTTTCGTTGGTTCAGATATAATTAACCTCAATGACCCTGGTGTTTTGGGTTTCTGAACATTCATCATCAGTCGCTGATTGACGTTGGGACATCTGACAAGTCTATCGATCATCTCCAAGAGTCATGGGTTCCTCACCAGCAGAGAAGAAAGGTGCCGCAGCAGCTGCCGGAAATGACCTTGCAGCAGTGAGTTTACTCCCAAGATGCGCATGCTGGGCATTGGATGCTAATATTCTCGTCAGGTACTCCCTGATGATGCTCGACCTTGGTATCGCGTACCGCATCTACTGAAACTCAACCTTCTCCTTCTGATTCCTCTCGTGTCATCAGGCGCAATTGGTTACGACGGTAAGTTCAGTGCGCGACAACTTCCTCTTCCTCGCTAACATGCACAGGATCCATGATGAACGGTCTCCAGACCCTTCCTCAATGGAGAGGCTACTTTGGACAGCCTGAAGGCGCCATGCTCGGTGCTCTCAACTCCGTATACCCAGCTGGAAAAGTCATCGCCTTATTCTTCGTCACCTACGTATGCGATCGATTCGGTAGAAAGACAGCCATGATGGTCGGAGCTTTGACTTGTGTAGCTTTCGCGATCATGCAAGCTGTATCACAGAACTTGGAGACTTTCATTGCGGCCAGAGCTATCCTTGGTTTCTTCACAAGTTTCTTGGCCCAGCCTAGTCCAATCCTCATCACTGAGCTTGCCTATCCCACACATCGAGGCAAGCTTACCGCTCTGTACAACACATCGTTCGTAAGTACCCACTCTCCATACCCAAAGACATCCACTGACTTGACAGTATCTCGGAGGTATCATCGCCGCCTGGTGCACATACGGAACCTTCAAGATCGACTCAACATGGAGCTGGAGAATCCCTTCTCTCCTCCAGGGAGCCCTCCCCTTCATCCAGCTCCTCGCCGTTTACTTCCTCCCCGAGTCTCCCCGATGGCTCGTCGCCCACGACCGACGCGAGGAAGCCCGCAAGATCCTCGCCAAGTATCACGCCGGCGGTGACGCGAACGCCCCACTTGTCAACTTCGAGATGGCTGAGATTGAGGGTGCTTTGACGCACGAAGCTGATGCCATGTCACAAAACTCTTGGCTCGAACTCGTCAGAACTCCCGCGAACAGAAAGAGGACCCTCATTGCCGTTATTGTTGGATGGTTCGCTCAGTGGAACGGTATCAACCTCGTCAGGTATGTTGTCTCACCCTGACCCCGCGCTTGTGTATCTGTCTAACATCGCCTGTAGCTACTACCTTGTCCTTGTCCTCAACACGATCGGTATCACAGCTGCCAAGGAACAGACTCTTATCAACGGACTTTTGCAGATCTCAAACTGGCTTGCCGCGATCTTTGTTGGTGCTATGTTAGTCGACAGACTCGGACGTCGCACCCTGTTTCTTCTGTCGACTTGTGGCATGTTCGTGTCATACATTATATGGACCGCTCTCAGTGCTTCGTTCGACAGTACTCGAAGCCCAACTACCGGAAAGGCCATTGTCGGCTTTGTGTTCATCACCTTCTTCTTCTACGCTATTGCTTGGGCCCCTCTTCTTCAAGCGTACACTGTTGAGATCTTCCCGTACACCCTTCGCAGCCGTGGTGTCTCAATTATGTACATCAGCACATTCGTCGGTCTCGTCGTTGGAAACCAGGTCAACCCAATAGCCATGAAGAACATCGGCTGGAAGTACTATATTGTCTTCTGCTGCATTCTCGCCTGTCTCATCGTAATAATCTGGTTCCTTTTCCCCGAGACCAAGGGTCACACTCTGGAGGAGATCCAGGCCATCTTTGAGGGAACATCTCATGCGGCTCTTCATGCTGGTAAGCTGGAGGATATTGAGCATGGAAGAGTGGATCAAGATGGCAAGAAGGATAAGAAGGTCGACCAAGTTGAGCTTGCTTAGGTGGAACAACCAGAGTCCTAGATTTTGTGACAATAATAATAGCCGATGGCAACTGTTCACACAGAATTTGTAACCGATTCAAGCACTGACCAGAGTTCCAGTAGCGATGCTCCGATGGCGACCTGCCTATATGTACCGGAGCGCAGCCAAAGAAGATGTCCGAAGCTGTCTCTTGTAACCTGCCGGAAGATCCCTGGAACGAATGATTGCCATATATTCATCATACAATACCACCTATGTAGAGGATGTCACCGAGCACGACCGATGGATGTACTGTATCTCAAACAAGTATAGGCGACCTGCTGGTCGAATGTCCTCCTCAGTATCCTATCGGCTCTCCAAACAAGGTACAATAGATTCGTATGTTCTTATGCGTGCAACTTGTAATTTGGAAAGAAGGAGTTTCATCACCTATAAAGACGACAGCTAACTCTGCATTCCTGGCGCTGGTTCAAAGGACATCGCACAGAACAAGGTCGAGCACCCAATCACAATATCACCCATCAATCATTCATTCTTCATGAAGTACTCAGCTGTTGCTCTTCTCGCCCTCGCCCAGGGCATTGTTGCTATCCCATCCCTGCTTGGGCAGATTAAGCAGAGCCAGTCCAAGGTTCTGGTGCCTGATCAGGATATATCGTTAGTATCTCTAACTCAAACTACCCATCATGCCTTACAATCCAATGCTTAGCCCATTGCGGTCTATAACATCGCATGTTACTTTACTAACACGAAGCCATAGTCTTTCTATCAAGCTTTCGCAGGTACCTATGCACAGGGACAAGCCCCAAACTAAGCAGCATGATATCTGCTGGCTTCTTTGTGCTTCTGAGGAGATTGAGTGCCCAGATAAGTGGGTAAGTTGATCTACGCTCCCTTTGACTGTTGGCTTGCGCTAATCAAAAGAACGTACTCCTCTTAGCAGGTTAGATCACCTTTTTGGCCAGATATGTTCATAGCTGACCTTGTATCTTAGGGCGATTGCTGGACTTGCTGCCGCAATTCTTAAACGCTATGCCGAGCAGTCTTGAAGCAACGCATTTGGGCATCATTGCCTCCCAATAGTACAGGTTAGAATAATGGCCTCGGAGAACTCCCAACTCGTCACTCGCTTAGTTCGTCTTTGTTTGTCATTCCTGAAACAGTCACTCGCTTGGTAAAACACAACATGAAATGAGAGAGCTATAGCGCCATTCTTAGATAAGCTGGGATGTCTTATGGAGGTAACAGGGCATATCTAGGTCAAGAACAGCTAATACTATAGCCTTAGTCTATGCGTTAAGAACTCCATGTGACGTGCATGAATGTTTAATTACTGAGATCTCTGGTCGATCTCATTCTCGATTATGTGACTGTGTGTTATTTGGTCTGAGGAGCTGATAATAGCATCATTGCCACGTGGGGCTCTTGCTCAGTGAAGTTTTGGGAACAAAGCAGCCTGACTAACAAGGGCCGGAAGTGAGCTGATGTCTGTGGCCTCTACCAATGTATCTGATTTCGACGATAGGCCCTGTGTATCGGCCGTTTCCTTGACCAATTTAAGACCACAGATTTAATTTGAACTTGACGGTAGATGAAGGCTCACAGAAGCTCCTGACATAACTCGCCACAACTGCTATACTGTTGCGATTGAAACCTCTTTCAATATCAGCTTTATGCTGTAGCCATTGGTCAGTCATCGTGGTAGCGATGTCTAAGTTGTGGGCTAGAAGTGTTATTTACAGTTAAGACTTGTGGCTGTGAGATTATTCCAGCAGAGAGAACCTAAAAACGTCTTTCAAAACCTTACGCTTGTCACATATGATACCGATATATTTCTTAGAGTTAGGAAAAACCTCATTTGATAAGCTGTGTCGTATTAGACTCGTTTTTACCAAAGCTTGATTTATAGGGAGGCTTGACTATTTAAGAATCCCATTTTCTCTTTGGCTTGAATCAATTTCTTTTCTTCATTCGTCCCGAAGCATTTGTCAAGCCAGTGATCATACAAAGATGGCGTGCTTTTCAGAGTGCCATGCACGCATCAGAAAGCCTGGGCGTCACCTTGAATGGATCCCGAGATGGCATCGATGGTTCCAATGCGCTATCGAGGTATTTGGCACTATTGCTTCCTATCTTTGCTGCTACAAATGGGGCCGTCCAGGATCCGTGAATCGTGCTGTTGTCAGCTCATCGTCGAAAACAGCATTAGACAATGAGGACACACCCCTAGAGACGGTAACCTTACCGCAAAAGATGAATACAGTCAAAATACCTAATGAAATATTTGACGCCATCCTCAGATTCCTTCCTCACAGATCGCTATTTATACTCCGTCAAACGTCACGAAGTTTCCAACAATATATAGACAACGATCCTGTCTTTCGCAAATTTCATGCCGCGAGCCGTTGGCATAGGACAGCGCCGGCCGCTGTTCGAGACAGTCGCGAGATATATACTTCTCTACGCCGCCAAACCCTATGCACTGAGTGTCGGGCCATAAGCACAGATGAATTACGAGAAAGGCTGATATCCTTATGCGAGCCGAGAAGCTGCACCGGCTGCAAGAAGGATCATCCTGGAATATTCTTCCCCGCCAACGGTAGAGAAAGAAACAGGTGTGTTGGGTTGCTCGGTCATTACGATATATGCTCTCACCGGCGACTCGATTTCAAATGGAGGATCCCCAAACCTTGGACCCAATACCCAATCTACGACCGCTGCATGGACGGATCGCATGCTTCTTCAGAAGGGAGTGATGAGGATCCTGACCTCATTTCAGAGCAATACACCCCTATTATCGAAATCGATACTTGCAGGTACCCGGGCATTATCGCCACGACGACCTCGTTGACCTTTGAAATTCGCGGAATATGGGAAAAGAAATCAATGGGCCGATATTTCATGAGAAGTGTTCTCCAAGATTGTGGCCAACTTTGTCCACATTCTTCAACCGCAATGGAACGCTTGCTCAGCAACTTGGAGTGCACTATTTGCTGCTGCAAATATTTTGGAAATTCAATTCCAGTGAGAGATGATGGTTGTGTCAGTCTTCGTTACACATGCAAGGAGTGCAACGCTATATACGCCTGGGAACGCCCACGCGGCAAGTTCAAGGAGTGTTGCAAGAAGACAGGCTTATTAAATGAGAACTCATTTCGGTTACACATCAGCCGCCGATGGAGACACTCAGATTCATTGAGTTTCGAATGGCTTCGGAGCATAGAATATGGTGATGACGGGAATCCCGTTCTCACGGACAGAACTAAGCACGTTTTGTGGTGCGATCAGCCTGACTGTGGCACTGGGTCCGGCCATAGATGGCTGAAGCTGGCAAAACTCTTCTCGCACGCCTTTGAAGATAATCAGTGCCGTGACTTGAAGACAAGTCGATTTGGATATCAATGTGGGACTCATACAATTAGCTTTCCCAAGGCTTGTAGTTGGACCTTGGAATACGATGTCTACGAGGAGGCAAGAAGAAGATATCCGGAAGAAAACAGAGGCTCACTGCAATCGTGGTGTAGATTCTTCACTGCTGGACTCCACTGAAGAAGTGGCTCCAGAGAGAATGTACATATTGGCTGGGTGATCTATGTAAGACCACGTTAGGCCTGAGCTCTTTTCACCGTGAGGCAGTTTTAACCATGTCAGGTCCTATAGAAAGACATATCATCATTGATAGATTAATCAACGAAGATGCGAGAACAAGAATAAGTATGCGATTAGAAAACGTGTGAATTGATGGTACTTAATAAACATAACTAATCCGGCTAATTCGAAATGTGGTTCAAGCCAGTGGCAGGACTATTCAGAGACATGAGCTTCCTCTAATGTCTTTTCTGAAAGCTCTCTCAGCTCCTTGAGTGTTCTTGGAAATATATCTGAGCAACCACTGCCTTTCACTTCCTCGAACCATGAGGATGATGAGATAATACAGAGTTGAGGTAAGCTGTAAAAGTTGAGTTCCTTCTCAGTCAGAGAAAGCATAGAGATCTCAAGGTCGGCTCTCTCTAGAGTGAGAAGTCTTGTCATAGACCATATTATTTCTATAAGCGCGTATCTGTTATGATGGTCCTCACCGTAGGAGGCGAGGAGTTCTGGCCTTCCCCCGTGCAATTGGAATAGAGTGTCAGTGAGTTCCTGGCACGAACTTCCATTCGAAACGCGCTCACATATCTGAGGGGTTGGAGCGGTCTCATGTCCTCGAATGACATATAGGAAGTTTAGTGAGGAGACTTGTAGGCATGTAAGTACTTTGTCAATGCGCATGGCATTGGCAATTTCTTTGGTATAAGGCTTTAGTCTGGTAATGACATAGGCAACCAAAAAGCTTAGTCTGACTTCAAAGATGATGCAAAACTGGTTCACGAGCCTTATTTGAGGATAACGGACATGAAACCATCTTCCAATCTGAGAGTTATGGTGTGGGGCGACGTCAAAACATGATAGTATACTGGCCTCTAAGTCAGGACAAGTTGCCGACATGTCAAGCATTAGTGGTAGAGCCCAGGCTATGAAAGACTCTTGGTACTCTCTAGTATGGAATGTCACATGAACTGCGTTTTCCAACAGATTTAGGAAGGCACTTTTTTTGTGAACAAATGGCACCTCTCCGAAGCTCCGAGGGCAGATCTCGAAGAAATGCGGCTCAGCGCCCACTGACAGCAAGTATTCAGTCAACTTCTTCAGGTGAAGAAAGTCATTCCTTTGTCCTGTTACTGTCGGAAGCTGACAAGTTTCTTGTAATACTTGTGTAGCAACCAACTTCGGTAATGACATCTCGGAAAGCGTTGAAATGATGAAGCCACGGAACAGCGGATACTGGGCTAGATGAGTCAAGAATTCGGGGTTTGGCCTCCACGAAACCATGTCTCCGACCACATTGTTCTCGTATAGACGCTTCAAGATAGGAAGCAGTTCAAGCAACTCGTTCTTCTCGTACCCGTGGTGGGGTTCCAGTGTTTCATATAACCCATGAAGATCTGACAGAAAGGAGGATAATTTGGCTCTCGCCCCATATTTGTAAAAGTGAATACAGGCCAAAGAAAGAAGGCCCTTGAAAAGAGAAATTCTAGTCTCTCCTGGAGTTTGCTTGTGAAGCTGTAAGATATTCCGTCCTTCCTCAGTGTTAGTCAAAAAGTCGTGAGCCGTGCGATGGATAAATTCCAGCCTGAGAGGCCAAATCTCCTTGGCACTGCTGGGGGTGGCATGCTTTGACTTTCGAAAAGTTTGGTGACTTGTCTGTAGAAGACCAGCGCATCTCACTTCAATTCCCTTCTTGGTTTCATTGCAGAGTTGCATCAAATCTGCGTATTTTTTATCAACCTTTAGGCGAATGAGAAACTCCTGGAGGTTCGACTGTTCCGCGCACACAATTTGCAGTAGCATTGGGCCATGATAACGATTGCAGTATTGCGATGTTTCCAAAGAATAGAAGGCGATTTCTAGGGATTCATCGCTGTACAGAACATAGTGGAAGTATCTGGCTGCCACCTCTGCGTAGGGGCTGTCTTCGTTCATTCGTCGCCACATTTCGGCGTAGAGATCCGCTAGTTCGCTAGGAAGCCTGTCCAGACGCCTCAGAAGTAGTTCTTCTGGGTCTTCATTCATGATGCCAGTAGCAACACTTCTCAGGACCAAATGTACCCAAAGAAAGACCCCTTGAGCCTTTTTCACTATCCTGTTCGTCAAAAGCCGGCACGCCTCCACTGAGATCGTGCCAGAAGCAACCAAAGGTTCAAGTTCTTTGAAGGCAAAGGTGACCATTTCGGGCTTCGTCAAGGCTTCGAGACAGATATGGCAAGCATTGTGCTTTTTAAGCCAAGTAGCTAAGAATAGATCGGGCCGACTAGAAACACAGATTTTGACTTGTGGGTGGTGCAAAAGTTCTTCGATCATCTGAATGAGATTGGGTATTCCGTCCGAATTTCCTATCTCATCAATACCATCAATGAAAATAAAGATGTGATGATGCTGAGTCTCTGCAATATATCGGAAGATATTCTTCAGGTCTCCACTTGACCAATCGTCGTAATACTTATATGAAGTACTAGGTTGGCGTTCCATGACCTGCTCTTGTAAAGACTTGTCGCTATCCAATAACTGGTATACTAAGGAGCACAGGAGACCTTTGATGCTATTCTGTGTAGTGGAACCAATCTTCCAGAAAAAGTGTGAAAGAATTATAGGCTGTGGGCTCCACTGGCTCAGGAGGGATTTCGTGTTGGGATTGTCGATGATGAACTTAGATAGCGTGCTCTTTCCTGATCCTGGTTTCCCTTGGATGCAGAACAACGAATGGCTAGTTGTCAACCATTATTTGAAGACGCTCCACGTTGAATCAATATCTCGATCATCTTCCATGACTGTCGCAGACATATCAGTGGAATTCTCTGCCTCGGGAGATTCTACCGTGGCTTCGTTGAGTCTGGCTGCCACTTCCGTGCTGCTCATGCTTTCATATGAGGCAAAGACGCGACCGAAGCTCACCTCCCCAGAGCCTTTGAGATCATTGTATCTTTTCTTCATTTCAGGAAACCTAAGACTTTCGAGGAAATCTCTCCGCTGCGATTCTGTTACGAGGACGTTTTTGACTGTTTGGCGCGTATTCGCTGATTCTTGCATGATGATGTCGCGTGTGATTTTGTGCTCCGCAGAGATGAGTGCCTCTAGCTTGTAATTTCCTTTGGATATCTGTATGATCACAATTTTGATATAATTCTCAAGGCTCGTGAATCTCTGATCATCCAGAAGGTCTTTGGCATCATTTTGAGAACTGCAGGCACTGTAAGTAACTTGTCACAAAAGAAATTTTGTAGCGTACCAGATCGGTATCAGAAGTCGGGTTTCCATAAGCTTTTTCTCCATGTCTAGGCTTCTCCGCAGACGTTCGATTCTGCCCCGACGCAGCAGAGACCTGAAAGTGTATGATATGGCACTGGCGCAGTTGCCCTTTTGCTGGTTCTTTGTCACGTAGCGGAGTTCAATTTGTAGTTCTCTGGCGGTATCTCGGCATCTATTTGCCACGCCTTGAAGCTCCTGCTCCACTGGTGGTGATTTTTCTGAGATGCCGAGTGATTGGAAGCGCCTGTTAACTAGGACCGAGTTTTCGTGCATATCATTTACATGTGCTTCGAGCACATTATAATCTGTAGGCTCACCATCGTAAACTTTCTTGAAGCCTACGACGACTTTGAAAGAAAATTGTATGAGTTGAACGATGGCACAAACTGCGCCGAGAGCTTCCAAGCCTGTCGCCATTGTGCTTTGTTGTGGCTAGTTTGGTGAGATAATGGACAGAGATGAGGAAGTCGGAGAGGATTAGTTGATTAATTTTAGAGAAACTCACGGCCAACAAAACGGCGACTGTAGATATAGTGGTCGCTGCGATATTACTAGTAGACAGTGCTACTCTGCTGTCACTGTAAAAAGAGAGTCTAAGCACCCTTGCGGAAATACTTGCGAAACAGGAGGCTGGCAGGACGTCAAGAACCTTGAAGGAAGTAGCCCCGACCGCTGGCTCCTCGCATTTGAAGTCACACAATATCAAGCTAGCCTTCGGAGAAGCCGCCCCAAGAATATCACTAATGATCAGAGTCGAGGCTAACTATCAAGACGATCACGCTATATCACTCAAAGTACTGGTAGAGTAAAGAGGGGATGATCATGTCAATCAATTGTATTGGATGCTTGCAAGATTAACTAGAAAGCTACATATTGGTGAATGAATGCCTAGGAAAAGAAAAGGAGCCGTCCATTTCCAACAAGTTCTCATGAAGAAACTTTCCTTCCGATGCACGCTGACTCCATCATCTAGTGGTATGTAAGAGTCCAGCCGTTTTCATGGTCGTCTTGCTCAAGGTAGGCCTGTGAATCGCCCTTGGGATTTCGGAGTCCAACGATGAAGGCAACAGTCTCAGCACAGTCGACACTCCCTACAAGATGGATGTCTTCCTTGCGGTCATCCCAGAACGAGAAGTTAGGGACGCCAATGGATTTCTGATCGTCGAAGGGCTTGACGGAGTTGTATGTTACATCGTTCTCGGGGAGACCAGATAGAAGCCGTGCATCAGCTTGTGCATCGCTGTTCTTGACGAAGAACCTTCGAGAGTAGCGAGGTCCCTGACGCCAAGACAGATCACAGTTCTTTGCGCCCGCTGGGATGTCCTTGAAAACGATCACTTGCTCAACCTGAGACTTGTCCTTCCAAGTCTCGAGATGGACGCCGTTGACAGGGCCACTAGATTCATCGGGATTCTCGGGGTAAATGTCGTACAACGTAGCAGGGACGATGGTCTTGACCGAGGAAGATGCTTCTGTAGCAGTGGGTTTGCCCTTGACCTTTTTGGGAGTTCTGCCAGAAACGGGAGTAGGTTTGGTACAAGGATCATGGTCGAAACAGCCGACGTTGGTGTCACAAGAGTAGTACCACGTGCCAGTCGCGCATTCGTTGGTCTGTTGGCGAGCTACATTGACGGGAAGGGCACTTGCAGCAGAAGCGAGATAGACCAGCGCTGTGACCATGTTGGTAATGGAAGGCATTATTGCGGTGTGAGTTTGGGGGGCACAGATGACGAAGTTGGTCTCGGTGAGTGAAGAGTTGCGAGCGCCGGTAGAACTTGCAGGTGTTGACCGTAATTGCTTTGGTGTGAAGATGTTTCGGAAATGTTGCTTTGAGGGTGTATAACCATTGTCTTATGGAAAGTCTTCTTCTCACCAGATATAATGATTGAGTGTTGGCGATTTGGGTTGTCTGTGGCGCATCACTAGTGCAGCGGCGCCTCTGAAGCTGCCTCAATGCAACTGTTCCTACATTCAGAGCAACGAAGGCCTGGAGCTGCAGTAACGTGGGCTTAGTCGCGATCCTCTTGTCTTGACAGCCTATCATCCTCGGCTCTGCTAGTAGCTAGATGAATTGCAGCGCTTAGGTAACAACTCAGCCTCAGTGCTTGTGCAGATATTACGTTCTTCTCCAGACTCCATTAGTTTTGGGATATGGTATGGTGAACATGCGAAGATTGTAGTCTTATCTCAGCATCCAGCCTCAAGACTCTGATGTTATGGTTGTCAGTCCACCTGGGCACCTTAGCAACAACAATCGCAATCGGAACAGTCACGAGGTGTAGTTCAAGCTCTGGAGCAGCACTAGGTCATTGAAGTCTTCGCTGTCCCCATTAAAGGAAATATATGTGCTCCAGCGGTAACTGTATTTGATAACTACGTGTGATACCTGGTTCATAGTGTCACGCTTGCGCTGGCTATCCCATAATTGGTGCTGAGATCAACCCTTCATATCACTACGCGTAAATGCGGTCGTGAAACCTCCAATATCATTATTTTACAAGACTAAAGCGGTCCTCTGCGACACTCATGAAGCTCTACAGGAATTAGAAATCTCACTACCAACTGAGGCCAGTAGAATTAAGCTATAAACCACTGACGTCTGTATGAAGCACAATTTCAGCTTCAATCGTCTGTAAATAGACAAGATCGAAATCATCTGTCACCTGCCTATGTATTACTCAGCCTAGAGCTGTGTTCTGACGATAAACCAGTGCTATCGCCCTATTTAAGGACGATGTAAAAGTCTTAATATACATAAGCGACATTCTGTCACCTCAATCTCAAGAGGTGCCTCACTCACATACTCTTGAGACGGGAAGGTCTATAGGGATCATTTCAAATCCTCTACAACCTCCAGTCTTTGCAACTCAATTCTACCTGAGCCATTCTCGGCTGAAGCACCGAAGCTCGTCGCACGTAAGCCGGGTTTTAGTTATAGCCCCGACTCTCAAATCCGGCAAGAGTTTGGCGATCAGGTCAATCAAACACCGACTACAACGGAATAATGAGTCCCAAAAAGGTACATCCGAGCACTTTTGTCTTAGGATGAGAGAAATACGCCAAACCATGGCGCTTTGCCGTGTCTGATCATGGCGCTGAGTAAGATTCGTTCATGCTGTCACGTCTGGTTTATCATCAGAATCCTTAGTACATCGGATGAACCAATCAGGTCGATCATCTAACATCATCAATCGGCTAACGGCATCACCTCACGGATATAGTCAGACGCTTGGAGCGCTGAAGCATAAGTCTTGTGATGTCTCTTACTATAAGTTGGAACTGGTACCCTCGTTCACCTTTATGCTCTACAATCAACCATCGAATTGGTGGAAGTGACTTAAGCAAACATACCGAACCAACATGACTGGACCCCAAATCTATACTCTCAACAGCGGCAAGAAGGGCGTTGAAGAGCATCGCCTCGACTATCAGCACATCACTTGGTTGCGTCTTACGAAGACCTTGATCCCCGATACCATCAAGTCATATCTCAACTCTCTTGGGCGTCCACCCGCAGTAGCCGACGTTGGAACTGGCACTGGGGTCTGGCTACGAGACTTTGCATCGGAAGTCCACCAAGATGCTCGTCTTGATGGTTTTGACATAGATGACTCAAAGTTCTTCTCCCCGGCCGACCTTCCACCAAATGTCAACTTGTCATTCGGGAACGTCTTCGAGCCAATTCCCGAGAATCTCGTGGGAAAATATGACTTGGTACACGTTCGACTTCTGATGGTCGCTCTAAAGGCTGGGGATTGGCTACCAGTAGCAAAGAATCTTCAGTCACTTCTGCGACCAGGAGGTTACATCTTGTGGGATGAAACAGGATTCACTAAGTTTAATGCTGTGCCAATCACCGAAGCATATCAAAAATGGATCAGTACGGATGTCCGGTACGGACTATCAGTTGGACGCGATGTCACGTAAGCATTCCCTCCAGTCGTCATCAAGGATCCGCTGACCTCCAACAGAAGCCCAATGCCACTCGAGGGGCACTTCAGAAAGGCCGGTTACGTCGAATGCTCACACATCGACTTCAGTAGCTTCAGTGAGGGGCTTGAGGTTCAGAAGAGGGCAGGGGACACACTTGTCAACTACGCGCGACAAGCCTTGAATGGTATCGCTGCCAAAGGACAATTTGAATGGATTCACTCTCATGAGGATGTAGAGAAACACTGCGACAAGCTACAGCAGGAGGTTGATGACGGTGTTTCGATGATGGGATATGAGGTTCGGTGGACCATTGGACGGAAGCCGGAGTAGTCTAATTCCGTCCTGCATCTTGTCGTCGCTCTTGCAGCACTGATGAGATGCCACTGATTTTTCTGAGCACTTGCATCTGGTACCTAGATATATCGTAGCCATACTCAGTGATTCACCAGCTCAACGGGCTTTGAATGGCGGATGATGTGCAAATTTGCATTATTAAACCTGGTCACCCAAGGAAATGAACCAGGTGATACTCGAAGTTCATAACCAGACCTTATGATAGCCGCATTGATAGAACTTCAAGACGCCTTAATTTTAACCATGGAAGCTCTACTCAGGGAGGGGTCCAGCTTGTGCTATGTCGTACAACCATTTGTTAAGTGTAGAATGGCAGTATAAATTCATGGAAGCCTACCTTGAACATCTACTTCTCAAATTTAATCCTCAAAAAGACTCGACCTTGTGCTAACTGACAATTTATCCATCCATTTACAGATACCATCCGCCACCCAAGTTCTACGCGATGAAACCGTCTCGCAAAGTCAACAAAGCGAACCACGTACACCGGTTTTCCATGACCGAAATTCCGAATATGTTGAAGCTCTCGGAAGCCCTCGACAAGATTTATGGAAAAGGTAACTATGAGCTAAAGACTACAGGAAACCACGTCAACCTGGTAGCCCCGGGTGTCAAGAGGCCCGTGGACGAGTTGAGGAAGATGGGGGCTTTATCTCAGGTCCTGAAGGTCGACGGGGGGCAATCACATAAGTAGAGCAGATGGAGTTCTGGGATAGTAGTTTCAGAGTGAAATTTTGACAACAAAGCATATAAGAAAGACGCATTCTAAGATCGTGAAATGATAAACAAGTAGAGCATGGAAGATACGGTAAATGCTAGAAAGGTGACTTCAAAGTCCGTGGGCGATCTCTCCTGTTTGTTGAGGAGATGAAGTAGTTGGTCCGATCTGTTCTCCCTCCAGTTGATCTTCCAGTATTGTCGCAGTAGTGTTCGTACTTCCAGTGTCAGTCCTCACAGGCGTCTGAGCCATGATGTATGGAAACTCTCTAGGCGTTGGCTTCGGCCTCTTCGTCTCCCGACCGCCATCATCTTCACCAGATCCTCCTCTTCGACTCTGCCATCCCTCAAACATAGTTCTTAGAGCGTTTTGAACACTTCTTTGAAACTTTCTCTCCGTCTCACGGTTACTATTATCATCTTCACTCATAACGAGGCCTGACATTACTAATTGTTCCATTATCAAATTCGTCCCGCGACCTTCCATAAACTCGCGAAGACTCTCTGCATCCTCGGACAATTCGCCGTTCAGGTATGCTGACTTTGGTCTTTCAGCATTTGGGAAAATAATGCTATAGATATCGAACCACTGGTCACTCTCTGATTTGTTCGGGCCTCCGAGCCGCGATCGCAGTTTGCGTTCCTGTTCGGGGGTAATGCCATCGGGTGCGATGTACTCTCGCCTCTCGCATACTTGAGCGCGGCGATGCTCTCGAAGGTCTTCGACAGTCGGCCACTCGCTCAGACAGATATCGCAGTGGATGGGCTGCATATGGCAGCGAAAGAGATGTTGCTTGACGTAGCTATTGCGCTTGAGGACGTGAGAGTGACAGCGGCGATATTGAATCGGGTCGTGCTTATAGAAAGGGCAAGCCAGCCTGAGGTGGGAGTCTTCTTGTCTTTTAGACTTTTTCGCCCGTGACACTTGTTGGTGCTCGTTCTCGTCGTCTTGGGCTGCACGCTTAGGTGGCTGATCCTGTTGCTGTACTAGAGCGCTGTTCTCTGTTGCTCCTGTACAACCAGTTTCAGTGGCTGTAGGCTCCTCCTGGCGCGTAGATTCGGTCGCTTCACCGTTGTCATCGTCGTCTGCATCACGTGGCTGATCGTGCTGATCCGAATAGTTTGCTTCTGGGTCGCTCCCGTACCCCAAGTCAGAGCCTAGAACTATCTCTGTTGGAAAGGGCTCGTAGGCACCTCCGGGCATGTCTTCAAGTGAGGCTATGGAATCCTGGTAAGACCCATCTGAGCCCGGTGATGTGATATTTGTGTTGCTTGGTGACGGGCAGGAGGCCGGAGACAAACTCCCAGACCTGTCTGACGAAGAGTCTGAAGCAGCATCCTGGACATCTTCATCGTAACCATACTCTGCGATCTCAGGACCGCGCTGTTTCAGAGTTGCAGTTCCGTAATCAGCAGATGAGCCGGTAGCGTTGTGAAAGGAGCGCATGCTGCAGCTGCAACTGATCGTCTCCTCTGATAGGTTCAGTGAAGGCACAGACGACACCGTTGGTACATCCGTGACAGGTTGCAATAGTCGAGCTTCCTCAGTCTTTTGTTGGAAATCGGTCAGATAGGCGATCATCTCCTTCGGTGAGCCAACGTCGCCAGGGATTTCCTTAGCGTCCTGGTCCTCTCCCATGGGAATTGGCAGCGGCGATTGAACTGACTCGTCATCGTTGTCAAACCATCTTCCG